CGGCATTATGGTGGCAAATGATGCGTTCCCCAAAACTCGCTCGTGCACCCCATTTAGCTTCCAACATTCGGATTTGCTTGTTTCAAGACGTTCGGTATTACTTTAAAAGCTTTTCTTTTTATGCGTTCGCACTTCTACTTAAGCTGATTCTAGAACACTGCCATCTATCAAGAAACTTCCTCATTTCAAAGATTGGTGTCGCCTACGATAACGAAATTTCGATAAAAGTTCCTTGCGTTTATTGGCCTGGTTAATCACTTTGTTTGTCTTCCGATTCTTGAAAGAGCTTCAAGACGATGGTAAACTACGACGCATGCTGCGAGGATAGCGGTCTGGATTCAAAATCTATTCCTTATTTATTAACACTTTTTGATGTCTTATCATGATTAAGGAAAAGGGCATGTTGAATCCTGCCGAAAATTTGTTTAAAGTTGACTTTAGAGGTGTTAGTTAAACCATTATTGCTTGAGTGGTAGTTTCCTCGCTTTCTAATGCGTTCCTTTTTTTCCAGTTCGTGTCATCACCTCACTAGTGGCCAATATTGATAAAAAATCCGAGGTCTATTCGGACGATCTTTCTCGCGTTGTCTTCCAGATGAACAATCTGCGCTACATTCTTGCTAACCTCAAGAGGTACCCCCCTTTTACTCCTCTCCGCCCAGTTCTCCCTTTATCTTTAGCCGGGTTGTGTATGCTTGTCTTCCTTGATAGGACCGGCTTACAAAGTATCTTGGACGACTACGACAACAGTGTGGTGGATAAGTTCACTCGAATTCTGACTGAAAGCAAACAAGTCTACACAAGAGCGTGCGTTCTCCATCTCTTCTTTGTTTAATTCTCCCTCAATTTCTTTATTCACTTAGTTCTCCATGTACCTTTTAATGGTGCAGAAGGATTATGACTACGAAAATCTGCTGTGGGTGACTGGATTATCGTGCTAGTATTGTGACCACTTTAAAACGTCAATTAGCGTAGAACACGTCAGAAGCTGACCTCCTTCCCCCGTCCTTGCAGGCTTTCAGACGCAATATGTCTCACAGTACCAAGTAAAGAGGGTGGCGGCAGCGGCAGTGGTGGTGGTACTTTGCGTCGTTTTTTAGTGGGACCACACCCACTGCACTTTGCTAGGCCGCGGACCCCACTTCCCTCTATTTCTTCCCTTAGCGACGAGATCCTGGGGTCGCAGACCTCTCTCACGTCCTCGTCCTCGACCAAGGTGTGCATGCTGCATATGCCTAGGCTCGCGTCATTTTTTGTTGTATTAGGTCATTATGTATGAAATGTTTGATTTCTGATAGATCTATCCACATTGTGCTAACCCCTGATAGGGTTGTTAATAGGCATTCAGGCAGTTGAAGTCTAGGTCAAATTACTATCAATCCGCCACTCAAAACTGGCAGTTTGGAAAGCTCTCCTATTTCAAAAGTTCGTCTTTGACGAAATCGGAATTCTCGCAACTTTTAAAAAGGGATCGTGTTTCTGTAATGGATTTATCACAGCACAGGTAGCACCCCGAAATAGCCATGAAGTGTTTTGCACTCATGTTGTTAATCAAGGCATATTCGAGTATGTTGACGCGATAATTTGAGGTAATTTTATTCTGGAAATTGGAATGAGGCTAAGATGGATGCTTCCCTGAAAGTAATTGCACAGAGAACTTGGAACTACATCCCAAATTAGTTGCAAAATTTGGGGGTTGGGACAAATAGGGAACGCTTGTAAAGGCAAATGAAGTCTTCTGCTCATAAGCTTACATTCTTGAGCTTTTATCGCACAGGAACGAAGTGCATTGGTATAATGCTTTAGACGAACGTTTGTCACCTTGACTAAATATGTAGAGGTAGAGTACTGAAACAGGAAGCTTTTTTCCGTATTTAGCGGTTCACTGCCAGCAGGACAGTTTCATGTGATCCTTCCACCGCAGTTGCTTATGGTCTTTGTTCATGACGGCCAGTTAGATCGCCTAGTAGACGGAGTAGCTTGTGATTAAGCGACCTATTGAAGTTGATAGACAAGTATTCTTTTGAAACAAAACATATTGACCAATTAATGCTAGCTAGACTGAAATTGGACTAAGAAATCCTCTCCATCGTTCACCATTTGGATGAAGCTATAGTCCAGAGCCTGATTATGCTGAGAAAAGTATGTAAATCTTCCTATAGGGCAAAGCCTATCCCCCGCCCCCCCTCCCTTAGCCAATGCTGGTGAAAATGCTCACAAGATCTAGAGTGAGAACATTCCTTCCTGTTGGCCACTGGGATGAACTATTTTTTACACATTGGGTCACTTTTTCTAAGCTGTGAAAAGTACAATTGCTGATTTTGTTGCCTTTATGTAGCTAAATAGTAGCAATAACTTACGATTGCGGTGTATGCTTTAATTGGTTCCTTTGAAATCGAACATTTCATATTCTATGATCTAAAATCTACAAAAAGTCATCCCCGCTATTGTGCCATTGCGTTTTCTCCATTTGATTTGTGTGTGCGCCTTATCGGTGCCTACTTGTAAAATGTTATTTCCTTGGGACGATCCCCTTTTGCTTTGCTGTCTACCAAATGGTGCTTGTATTTTGATTGCCTGCCTACTTGTAGATGCATGCGATTCATCAATTTGCCATCATCCGCTTTTATGAACCAGTTTGCTCAACGTGGACAGGTAAACTGTGCATGTGCTTAGGTGTATGTATTTACCGGCTTTTCCCCTCTTTCGGCCCGTACTGCTCACTCCTGCTCTTGTAGATGGATTCAAAGGAGCGGTCTCAGGTGAAGGATATTTGGAATGTGAGCATTCTTCTTCTCTTCATTACTTTTATATTTATTTGAGTTTATTTCATGCCCTTATATTGTATTGCACATCTGTCAGTGTTGCTTGCCCACGCCTGCCACATCCGTCACGTATATGTGACAACTGAACTTTCTTATGAGACCCACGTCACAAGTATGTGACATGTGTTTTTATAAGTTAATGTAAATTGGTTGCAACAACTCGAGCCTAAAACCGACTAACTGAGCCTAAATAACAAAGTTAAGGGAAATACATTTTGCGATCTAAGCAACAGTCGAATTGCCCACATTGTTAGAATAAGAATTGGTGTCATTTTAGAACATTGAAACTTCTGGGCTGCATTGACACTTTTATGTTGGTAGAATTTTATGTACTTATGGTGAAACACTACTCAATAAAACAATTCCTGAAACCACTTCGATAGTTTTTCAGGTGGTCCTCATCCATGTTTCTTATAGGGCATTTAGCGCTGGTTTTGTACAGTAACCTACTTTTTGACGTGTCAACGCAACCAACAGCGTGGCAATAAATATTGAGACCAGATTATCTGGTTCAGACTACATTTGCAAGACACAATGGAGACATCTCCTTTGTTTCATGATTCCCACCAAGTAGAGACTACTTTCAATGTATAGGATTGCTTGTGAAATAAGCCATTCCGTCATTTTGGCGAATTCCCTGGAAAAATGCTAAATTGATAGTTGCCATAAAGTTAGTATTAATGGGAGTTATTAATGAGTCTCTGATATTGTGAATAGGTTTTTGGCAGCCCTCTCGGAGATACTCCAAACGCTTGAAACTCAAAAGGTTCAAATCAAGACTCTAAATCGGGTCATTCACATCAAGATCGTGTAAGGTGTGTGGAAAGTGGGAAATCTTTAGTTTCGGGGCTTGATGACCCTTTCCATTGCCTACTCGACTACCGTATTTCTTGCTTGTTCGGGGGTAATGGTGGAAGATAGTCTCAGAGGCACTTTGGTGACGAGGTTTTTACTGCGGTAATTGGAAAATACCTAGGTTCGGATTCGGTAGTTTGTTTTTCAGTTAATCTTCATTTTCAACCACTTTGAAGCGATAGCTTATCAAACCATCCCTTCTGATTCGTAGGGCATAAATCAGGGCTTCGCAAGCCTTCTGAAGCAGCACTCCCAATTGTCGATCCCAGACAAGGAGTTGCGTGAAGATCTTCGTGAATGCCTGTCCCGGGAGTTGGTGACGCTCTACCAGGCTTTCCACGATCGCTCCCTCCAGACACCCTTCACATCACGAAGAGAAAAGTATATTAAGTTGAGTCCCTCGGAATTTCAAGCAAAGTTGGATCAGATGTTCTTACCTGCAGCTGCACAGATTGCGCAGTCTCGGTCCTGATTCAATTTCTATTCTTGCCCTCCCCCCCATGGTTGCCAATCCAAACACTGACTGTGATTATCTACTTCTCAATATTATTCATTTGTTTTGACTTCATTTTGCCTACTTTGATCCACTATTTACCAGCAGTTGTGTGTATGTATGTGTGAGAATAAGGCTTCCAATGCTAGGTTTATGTCCATTCGTGCGAATCTCTTTTCCTAAGCTTGGTTAAGCAAAAATTTGTTGGAGAGAGTTCAGTAATATGAAGCTCGAGAACTTAGTCTTTATTCTCCCATTACTAAAAAGTGTGTTTTTGGTAATAATTTTCTTGGCGATCAATGCCACAACTGACATTGTGTGGCGTTCATGGAGTCAGGTTTCTGGTCAGGTTGACTGTGTGGACAGAGGACCCGTTTGACGGTGTTTTTCTTCGGTTTTTGGACAAAAAATAATGAAAGGTAAAATGGCTCTAGCCTGGTGCATTCCTGCAAGCATCGGAAATGTATTTTATATGAAATATTTGGAAAGGAAATGTAGGCGAAATTGAAAGGCAGTATCCTCAACACCTATTACATTGGGAAAGTGGAGATATTCTCCCAGCATCAGGAATAATTTCCTTTAGGACACTGAGAAATGCCTTGCTACTAAGTGTGCTTTGTATTTCATAGTTCGCGTCGTGCATTTAATCTGGTCATTTGAAAGCATTATATCTGCAGAAAAACGCAACGATAGAAATGGACACGGTTCCTTGGAAGTCTCCAGTAAAAATTGTATGACATTGATGAGTGTGTCCGGTGACGCTCCTCTCGCTCACACGGGCGCAATCGTTGGGTCAAATCTATATACTTAGCCTAAGTGGACGGGGGTTCATCTCCCGTTTGTCCCTTTCGCATGTGTTCCTTTTCTTGGGATACTCGATAGATTCAAGTCGCTAGTAGCATTTCTGGAGCCGAAATTCCGTTACGATATTTAGAGTTAAAGAGTTACGCAGTTGGAAGGATGATGGCGTAGATATTGGTAGCACAAGTTTGTACATGCCCAGCCTTTAAACTCACCTTACTCGGACACTGATAGCGCTGTGGGGTGTGGATTGCGAGTTGTCGATCCACTTTGGAGAATATACATGCAATATCCGCATTTTCTACGGCATTACTCCCTGCTTCTAAGTGTGCGTACTTTGTAGGAAAAGAAAAATATACTAATTCTCACATATTTCTTTTCACAGCTAGCATTTAGGACTGGGAAAGAGTTTCTCCTTTTAGATTCTTTGAAGGTAGCGCATGTACGAGGATATAAGGATGGCCACTACACCAGCACTTTGTTTACCTGTATAATTGTACTTATTCTTTGAATATTTTAGCTGCATTCAGATGGACATTGTTTCGCTTTATCAGAAAGACCTACCCTTCGTTCGCATATCAGCTCCAATGGTGCGCTATTCTAAGTATGTCTTTTACCATTTACTCCGTAATCTGTCATTTTCTGAGTTCATCTTTTTCCATTCCATTGCGTGTTGCTAATCTTTTTTTGCATGAGGTAGTTAACCCACGTAAGGCACACTTGCCGACTAGTTGAGAAATTCCTGTTCTGGTGGACGATTTTAGTCCTGAAAGTGAGACTTTTTGTGTGGAAGACTTGAGGTGACGGTCTTAACGCGTTGGTGGATATCACCATTCCAAGTTAGATGATAGGTCATTCGAAATGAAGGTGGTGGAGCACGAACTATGTGGGGCTGGCAAATAGCTCGTCTTTTGCATTGTTATGGTTCAGTCGAAGTGAGTTTTTTTCTCTTCTTCTGCTACTACTACATGCTGAAACTTGTTCCACTTTTGCCAAGGCACATCTGAGGTTCATAGACAGGTAAACGCGACCGAATACCGAATGGTCAAGTTTCGCAGGGTGGTTTGCTTGTTTCTCTAGAAAGGAATCAAATTCTCCAGCTCGATTGGAAATCCGCTTCACTTCACCATGTAATCAGTTTAGAAATTTTCGCGTCGATAGACATCAAATTATTGCGGCAATGGCATAATTTCTTTTGGAGATTTAATAGAAATACCAGTTCCAGACCATTAAACAAAATTAGTTAGATGGTTTGAGAATCAGGCATACCTTACTGTCCAAATAACTGCCAGTTCCAATTCCACTGCTTTTAGGCTCCCCTTTCGTCTGTTGGTGCGAAGGCACGGTGTCGACTTGGCCTACAGCCCGATGATCATGTCTTCTGCCTTCATCCATTCCGCCAAAGCTCGGGCCGCCGATTTTTCCACTTGTCCTGCAGATCATCCACTAGTCACGCAACTCGCCTGTCAATCGGGACCCGAGTTCGCGCGCTGTGCCGAAGAATTGTCCGCCCTCTGCGAGGGTGTGGATCTCAACTGTGGTTGTCCGCAAAGGTGAGGGAGGGATACTAAATGATTCTCTCACTTGGTTGCAGTAATTTAAGTTTTAGGACTTATCTCATGAATGGGAAGACTCTCGGACGTAGGAGACAACCTCAGATGGCTTTTGCTCCCGGTTTTGGTGGATTTAGGGTATATTAGTATCAAATCAGCAACCGTGATATTTTTTGGTTTGGTAAAATTTCCGAGCCGCCGCGTATTACCACTATATTATGCTTAATTGGTAAATGGTGTGAGGATAAAAATCCCAAAGATCGCTTATTTTAGGTTAAATTTGCAATTTTTTATCGCGAATCTGTATTATCCCGAACTTATTTGTTGAGTAACTCCCTGATGAACGGTGATTCAGGCCGTTTAAGGGTTTTAACTCCCCCCTCCCTTCCTATCCTCTTCTTTTTCACATGCGACACCCTTTCCTCCATTTTCAGCGTACTATTTCCTATTATTTTTTCCATTCTTTTCTTCCTCTCATCAAGGTGGGCGATGGAGGAAGGCTACGGCGCAGCGATACTGAAGGAACCGCAATTAATAGAGGACTTGGTGAAGGCAGCTAGAGCAGCGGTGCCCCGATGGCGTATCGTCAGCACACCCGAGGGTGAAGAGCGTCAAGTGGCATTCTCCGTGAGCATCAAAATTCGCCTCGTTCCCTGCCCTCCGCGTGCCATTGGTGAAGACGGTGATTCTTCCGCCCCCGCATCATGGCCGAATGTAAGGAAGGACCAGGGTTTTGTTTTGGACAAACAAGCAAATCAATCCTTAATGCTGGGGTGAATTTAGTAGCTCCTCGAATCAAAACGTCTAAGAGAGTAGGTCATTAATCCACGACTCCCTATAGACTATTTTATGGACAGTCTAAGGAAAGCTGATTGCAGATTAAATATCGCGCATGTCGTAGTGATGTCATTTCAAAGTACTTGAAGGTCAAGATCAGTCACACAGACAACAATCACCAACAGTAGTCTCTAAGATAGTTAGGAAATTCTATTAATGCTGGCTTAATATTTATTTATTATGAGCAATACGTATTCAAAGCCTGCATTATACCGCTTTGGGATGGGGATAAAGGTGGTGACGTCCGAGTGAGAACTTATATTTTGGGATTTTGATTTGCTAATTGACTTGCGGTTCACTGCATTAGTAAATGATTTCATTTTCACTTGGAACACATTGAACTGTCTCAGCGAGAGTTTTGGTTCTCATACATTCGCGAAGGTGCGAGAAACATACTTGGACTCCTTTTCATTGAGTTATACCTGGTGTTTGTCGGTAATGCTAATAGATGATTTAATATGATCCTGACGGTCCAAAGTTTTCCACCCCCTACCAGAGTCTGCTTCCGTGAAAGAGAAAATGGGAGAGTATCATATGCTGACTAAAAACTTCCTTTTCATAATGGTTGACTGACAGTAGATCACACCAATTGTCAAACTGCATTTATGCAATCTAGAAGAGGTTGCCGAACTGTTCGTCAACTTTTCAGAATGTCCAGCTGACCACAGAGCTGGTGCGTCGAGCAGCCCACATGGGTGTGGATTGGGTGACCATCCACGGGCGCACTCCCTCCCAACGCTCCACTGATCCTGCGCGATGGCATGACGTGGCTCAAATCATCGCCGCTCAGGTGCCGCACTACATCTATACCGCAGCTCCCCTCCCCATATTCCTCAATGGCGATGTAAAGTCTCTGGACGATGCATTCCAGGCCCAGCATATCTCTGGTTGCAAGGGTGAGCGATTCTATGTAGAATTTCGATACGCTTTATCATAATCTGCGGATGGCTCTAATCAATTTCGTCCCTCATATTATGGCGTGATACCAAACAGTAGCGTCGTAGCATCCCTGATCGTTTTGACCAAGGCAGAGAGAAGAGCCTCATCTACACGGTGTATTCACAATCACAACGAATAATCAGCATTCCTAAATTATTGCAGCATTGCAACGGACGAACACAACCTAGCTCTTGTCCCATGACATATTTTTTTTTCGAAAAGCTCAGCTCCGAGGTTAGGATTATACGATTTGCAATGGTGATTTACTAACGTTCAACGCATTATCGAATATCACCAACGTATGATCAGCATGACTGCGTCATCTACCATGAGTACCTATGGTCTCAGATCTTTGGCGCTTGACACTTTTAGCGCATCAACCAATAGCCGCACTTTGATGTTAAGCGGCCCTAGTTAGTGTGACCTGAGCCCAGAGGTGCCAGATGCTGTAATAACTGTTCGATCACCGGACTCTGTGGGGGACAATGGCTTTTGGTCCGAGTCGCTTCTATGCATGCTGAATTCAGCCAACCTAGTGGCCTTCTGTAGGTGTTATGGCGGCCCGCAGCCTTCTACAGGACCCAACACTATTCCAACAGGATGGTCCCGAAAATCCTTGGAGGCTCTATCGGGAGTGGCTTGACCTGTGTCAAGAGTATCCCAATTCTCTACCGTTCAATTCCATCCATCGGCAAGCCTACTGGATATTGGAGAAGCATATTGGAAGAAAGGGACGTGAAATCCTACACAAAATTGATAATATGGCCGACCTGTATGACTTCTCGCCGACCAATGTCTATACATAAAAAAAATACCTCCCGGTTGATCATTTACTGGGGTTTTAATCTCAAGTTACCCAACAACAACAATTGAGTTACGCTCACCTGACATAAATAGCGCCCAATGTCTAAAAAAGGAAGGTTAATGCCTCGAACGCGGAATGAACTGCCGACCGACTAGACGAGGAACAATGGGATATTTTTAGTAAGACTATTTCTAAGTAAACATAAGAGGTTAAACAGATTCAGCACGGCAGGGAAATGCATCTATTTATGAGAGGATACGTCGCTAAACCCCCAACTGCTACAAAAACTCCAATACTAATAAAGACTATTTATTCTAAATAGGACACGTTAAGTAAAGTTCAGGGCATGAAGCTACAGAAAGCATTTAAATTTAGTCAAACAAGTCAATAAAGTTCCCATCCTTGTCCACAGATTTCAAAATACCTGATTTCAGCAACCGATTCCACTCCAAGTCGGGGTCATAGGTCCTATTGAGAATGTCATGTGTAAAAGTAAACCCTACTCGTAGAATTTCCGAGCAGTGACAATCTTTCTCTGATACATGTAATAGGTGACAAAAGTAGTGACGACAGATGAAACAGATAAAGCCAGACCTAGGCCTTTTAGGGCACTGTTTCGGTAATGGTACCGCAGCTTTGGCATGTGCGGTGGACTATCGTACATCTCCAAAGGAAACCACCTGGGCTAAATACGGATAGACGGAATGAATAAAACGACCTTTTAAAACGGAACCAATCAAATCACAATTACAAGTGACTTTGTTTGACTGTAATACCGAAAATAGGCAATGCTCACAAAGTGATTTTATGCTATAAATGCCGTAGATGGCTATCGGAGGTAATCCAATATCCTCAGCACCAAAATATTTAAAAATAATTTGCTAAGGTGAAAACCAATGCCCTATAAAACACCAGAGTTAAAAATCTGATATTGTGATAACCACTTGAGGGCATCGCAGAGAGTTGTAAATGTGCGACTTCCGTAACGTATTGTTCATTCGCAGCAAGTGTTCAGTCTTAAATCTAACTCCACAAAAAAGTCTGGTTATGGAAATTTTAGGATGTTTGGCGCATTTCCCTAATTCAATCCTCTTAATACTTGGGGACCCTAAAGTCTCCCTATAATACAAACAAAACTACAAATTGCTCTTTTAATAGCTATTACTGTGTAAGACGCGTTTGTGTGAATATTTCTCAGAAGCGGCCATTGATCAGCATCTTCCATTTTCATGACGTGGCTGATGTCACTAAAACTTTTGGTACGGAAACAAACCCCAAGCTCTCTCCTAAAATCTACGAAAAGTTTTGAACTTTCCCTAGTCCTATTAGAACATTGATGATGCTCTCATGTACTAAAAACTCTTGATACCCAGTTCTTAGGTTATAAGTAGAAAAAGGCATAACGAACTCCTTCAAAATGTGAAACTAAGTGATTTGTGTATTTTGAGCTTAATTATCCAGGCAATCACCTATTGCATATTTAGAAGATCGTAAAATTACTCAGGTCAATGATGTTCGATTTCTTTTTTTTTTACTACATTTACACTTTGCCTCAGTTCATGCTAGCAGCTAGTCGGCTCTCTCCTACTTTTTTAACATGTTTTTGTAATACGATAGTGGTTTATCCCTCGGTTCTGGTGAGGCGCCACTTTTGTACTTCGAATTAGCCCCCTTGTACCTCGCTGGGTGGGCTGGCCTTTTGGGCCATGCCAATACCCAGACACCTTCTCCGTGCTGAATATATATATTCTGCCCGAGTATTTTGTCTTCTTTCGTCTTCAGGGAGTCTCGGGACGCTACATTTTCTCATGGTGCCTTAACTCCAGCAGAGGTTATGTTCGCAACGTGCATTACCTGATAACTTAAAAAATTGGCTTCCAATAGTAAAATCTTTTTACGCAGGCTAAAAATCAGCTGAATTTATTGATAAGTTGCATTGACAAAGGTTGTGTAAAATCATATTACTAAAAAACCAGCTTCAACGAGCTGCTTACTTGGCGGCTACTGCATCACGACCGCAACAAAAAGTAAACTTTTAATGAAGAGGCTAATGCTATCTATAATGCAATTTATTTGGTTTTCCTCATGTTTTGAAGCATTAAATATTTACATTTTGTTATTTTTAGGTCACGTAACTTAAAGTCATGCAAACATGTATGAAAAAAAATAAAACAATACCCGAGAATGAATCGCAAACAATCCATTTCCTGTATTTTCTCTGCTGAATCTTCCCTTATTTGAAATACTTCGCATTTGCAGCAGATGTTAATTGATTGGTTGCGACAATCGATTACAAGGTCTAAATATTCCGAGTAGCCGTTACTATCGTTGCTGCCTTGCTCTCTGCTGCCATGGCGTCTGATACTGTTGCGCCTAAAAATGATATTGGTATGCTTAATAGGCCATTATCTGACATGTTTAGTGTACATCTGCCCTGCAATCGAAAGGCTTTCACCCAGAGGTAGGTCGGCTTATTAAGAGCAATAAGTACGGCTGCTTTCGTTGCTGCAATTTCATTCATCCACGACGTGCATGCTGCTAAATTTACTGAGCAACCATCATCTAGCTTAAAAAGCCGAACATACAGGCTGAATTGCTGAAATCTGGATTCTTTGTAGTAATTTCTCTGATCTACTGGAAAAAACCGGTTGAGTCAGCTATCGTCATGGCAACAGGCTTCACCCTCTTGTTCAGCATTGGGTGTCTTTCCTTGATATCAGTCTTCGCTTATGTTTGTCTTGCTATTCTTTGCTGCACTGGTGCTGCACGTGTTTATTACGATCTGATAACTTCTAAGAGAGATGAAACCGCTTCCCCTCCGTTCAGGTTGGTTTCTTTCCTTCTTTAAAAACCCTATTTTGCTCAAATAATGTGTTGCCGAATGTATAGCTGTTTTCTGATAAAAATGTAATTTTGAGTGATTTATTCACTGGTTCACTTTGTACTCATCTCCTCTAGCGACTGGTTTATCAAAGACAAAGAAGCTTTGAGGCAGCGCGTTCATGATTATGTGAATGAGAAGTTTGACAAAACAGAGTCCACCTTCCAGGATCTGAGGCATTACCTCCTCATTGAGAACTATATTGATTCTCTGAAAGCAAGTTTACTACCGCTGTCTTTCAATTCAATTTTAACTCGAGTTTTTTTTTTACTTTTTTTCATTCTCTATTACTAGTTCGCTCTACTCATGTATCTCCTGTCAATTCTGGGTGGCTTCTTCAATTTGATCACCCTCGTTCTTCTCGGTTAGCGGGACGGTTTTTTTAGATATGAGACTGCTAAACATATTCATTATTTTTGTCTATTCTACAATGGTTTTAACTTAATTTGTGTTTTGGTGATTCTTTAAGCCTTTACGCTGATCTTCACGATCCCGATGATCTACGACTTGTACCATGTAAGTCATTTTTGATACCACTCATCAACCCCTCATTTTCCGTTGCACGTGATTGATTGCCACTTTTCACTTTCTGGAAATTGATTTTGAGCCTACTATACGTGGGGTCGTTACTCATTTTGCTCCTCGCCAATACCTGGAGTGCGTTTTCTTTTTCTCACCCCTCTCCTGTTGCGTAAACAGCACTGCATCTCTGTAGGTGCAGATTGACAAGTTTACTGAGAAGCCTAAACGGGAATGGCGCAAGATTTGGAGCAAGTACGTCATTTATCGTTGTCCTCTACCTATTTACGATCTGTTGTTGTGGTGAGATAGCACTGTTATCAAACTGACTCTTCATGCATTATGCTGTCTCCCTAGTTTTGTATCTATATTTCCTCTTCACCGTAAGGTTGTTCGTGCGACCAATTTTCTCAATGTAGGTTTGGTATATTCGTCACCTCTCTGTTCTTTTATTGCCATCGGGGAATGTTCCCAACCCGGTATGCTATCATTCACGCTCTAAATATTCACTTAATTGTATAGCCCAAACATGGGAATCTACTTTCATAGCTCGGAACAGGCTATTATTATCGGAACGTAATGGCGGCTGATAGAGATTGGTTTCATCTGAGAGATCTAGCGAAGTAATGAAATTTTACGCACTAAAGGACTGTTTCTCTTTATTTTAGAGCGAAAGCACAATTTGAAAAAATTCCATACCTTAAAAAGGAAAAGCAAAACTAGACAAATATGGTTTCCTGTGCCATGAGCGTGTTTTTGTGTGTTCGTGCTTGCGTATGCGAGGGAGGGACTCTATCACATTTGCGTGTATTTATCACATTTTCCCCTTTCCTCTCTGTAATATCTCCTTTGCTATTTAAGTCCTAATTGAGTTTTCATGTACGTGCGTGTATATCAGCAATACGCCGAACTCTCCGTGTCATTCTCGTCTATTCGTGTTAGAAGGTACCGCTTTATCATAGAAGTGTGGTGGTGGTGATACCCCCAGTGGTGTGTACATCAAACGCTAGCAGGCAAATAAAGCATTTCATCAGTCAGCCTGGTTTTTTTCTGTCTGTCGCATGGCCGTCTGCGCAAAAGCGAACTGGATGACGCCTGCGGGTCATGGTGTTCTCCGGGCGCATGTGCTCGGCCCAGAGGTCACGTCGGAATCATGACTCATCCTTCCCCCTGTACTCCTACGACATGGCATGATGGTGTGAATTTTGCAAAATCTGAAAAGCAGCTAGAATAAATAGGAGGTTGTTTTGACTGCACTGAGAGAAGCGACTTCATTAACGCGCTTGGTAAATGAGCGATGAAGGAGGGCGACAAGCGGCCACAAATTCATCTTTTTAAATAATATGAATTATGAGTCAGTCTAGAAGGGTTTTGGTTTTTCGATTTCGCGCTCAGCAATATTACAAAGTGGCGTGCAACTTATCGATCCCCTGTTAGTAGTTGACCACGATTTCCGCCGTCCCGACACTTGTGAACGTGCCCTTTGTTCTGAAAAACTCCGTTCACGCTACGCATATTTTTGTCACCAAACCTAGATAAGCATATGCCAAGCATTGTAAGCGCGCTTCGGTAAACAACGGTCGTGAAGAATCGTGCAAAATCGTTCCAGTATTCCCGTGATAAATAAAAAGGTGGGACAAAGTCATGTCAAAGAAAGAAGGAGGGAGATTTCACACAGCGAAGTAAATCTTGCTTGCATAGAATCGTGGGGTACGTAAACCCAGGGGTAAAGTACTTCGATAAATGTCTCTCGTCAGTAGGGTGGGATCAGTTACAGGGAGGCCGAGGTTACCTCCTGCATTCCCAACCCAAGGAGGGTCGGCGGAAGGTCCTCTGTAAAACCTCTCAATTTATCCAGGTAGGTGAGTTTCGACGCCTCATTCAAGGCTTGCTGTGACGATGCTGGCGGTAGTGGTGGAAGCCGCAGAAAGACAACCGAAGTTCCCTTCTCCGTATTGCAGTGTGAGGAGATTAGATGGTTGATTGTTTCCACTTCGTTCTCGTTTGAGCGGTGGTCAAACTCAACCACATGAACTTCGGCCTTTTGAAAGGTGGAAAAGCGGGTTTTAAGAGTGGAGTTAGCTGACCCATTCCGAGATAAATGCACAGTGAATTCCACTAATTTGGGCAAGAAAAGGACATTAATCGTAGCTACTGATTGAGGGATGTAAAACGGTAGTTTGGACTGTTAACGGGAGCTCTCTACTCCGTCAACGTCAGGCTCCTGTCATTGCAGTAGCAATGCGTTGATGTATGGAGGTTTAAAGGGGACGAGTGTCCGGTTTGGTGGTAGTTAAGTGCACAGGACTGGAATATGGCAAAAATTTCGGGTAGTTTCTCTGCTAGTGTTTGTGGGGCAAGAAGAGTAGCCTCTACAAATGATCGGCCCTTCCTTCAGTTAGTTATAAGCACCGTGAATTACCACTTCGTCCAATCTGTCGACGTGATATCTGTGTGTCTGGTGTTCCGTTGGGTTAGCTAAATCATACAAAATCCATCCATCTTCCTAAATTGATTCCAAGTAGTTTATAACCATTTGGAATGGTAATTATGTCAAATCTTGAAGCTACATCGTGCGTAGCTTGAGATGGATGTGCGAATCAATTCAACTACAGCGCCTTTCAGCTCATCACCACCACCTAGCACCATGCTCTCGGCTCAGGTCTCCTGCATGAGCTGCTAATTCTTCAATCAGAGGGGAAGGTTTAACAATGTCGAAAACCAAGCTGTGGACTCCTCACCCTCCTCTGAGTCGGGTCATAGCATCTTGTTGTCACAGCGCCTTATCTGTACCTAGCCTCCGAGCCCTTCTGCTCTGGAGAGGCAACTTAATAAACAAGTCCCTGAAAATGTGCATCTAAGTAGCCTCGCAATAGCTAAGACTAATGCCAGTCATGATGGAAACTTGGTGATATTAATGGCTCCCGAATTTGGCACCACCTAAGGTATTCAAACTTCTAATACTCGGTTCTGCGATGCTACGTTAGCTGGTAGCACACCAAGCAAATCACTGACACGTGATCAAGCTGACTAACAGTTGACCTTTTAAGATATGCACGCAACATGTAGCTGTGCAACCTATCAAGGCGATGCCTACTGGCAGTCTCAAGGCTTGTGGAAAAGCACAAATTGTATTGTCTCCGTCGAATCGTTTTTTTTTCCTTGTATGAATCACAGACTAAAATTGTTTTTGTATATAGTGGAAAAAGATAACATGGGAAGGTGGATTAATTAGGGAATCAAGAATTAAAAACGGGTGCATAAATGTGCAATTTTAAGTGTAACAGAGAGAAATAGCACGCTGGTTTTCAAACCACACATCACCCTCTTCATCGTACCGCAATACTCCGAGAGGAGCAAAACAAGTTGTTTGTGCCAAAGTCCATGAGACAGCCAACTCAAATTGTTGCCGACAACAACAATACCAATTCACTCGCGCCATCTCAATGAGTGCGTTGTTCTGTTCTGTTGCCTCCAAAAAAACACGATACATATTATGTGCCTATTCAGGTCTTCAAATGTGTCATTGTGCAAGGCTACAGCATTGATAGTGTCGCAGTGATGGTAAAATGACTCCCACTCGTAGTAATGCTGAACCATCGCAGTCTTAACATGTGTTAATGTGACTGCTAGCCAAGCCAGAACTTTGCCTAACTCAGACAAATACGCCTGGGAGAAACTACAGAACGAGTAACCTTTATGGAAACATTTCTCCTTCCCCACCCCCCACGCCTTGGAAGCCTGAAGCATTAATTACTAATTACGCTTATTAAATTTGCACTTTTATGGGTCTGGAGCATAGCCAGAACCGCAGCATTGCCCAAGTCACACCGTTATTTTGTGACCCCTATACAACTTGTTTGCTTTGGCATGCACATAAACTGAACTATTGACCCGAAAAGCACACTAAGCAGAAATGTTAGGAAAAGTGGGATAATTCATTCTATTAACATTCTAAGGAGATAAGAGGAAAGGAGGCTATTGCAAATGCTGACCTCAAATACTGCGACCAAGGAGAACGATTTATGCCAAATTGATGACTAAGATATAGTTAACTAAAACATCTTTAAGAAGTTTAAGAATAAAAACATTCCGCATACTCAAACGTGGTATTGCAGATGGACTTGTAGATGTTTCAATAGTTAACTCTTCCACATTCACAATCTCATTCGGCATCAGGACCTGGCGCCTTACCTAGAAAAGTTGCATGAGGGCGGCTGCCTCTTGCGATTACGAGTTTCAAACATCTACGCAATAAATGATGGTCAACTTTCATATGAAACCTAGCCATAGATTGCACAAAAAAGATTCTTGAATTTCAAAATGGATAAAAAAACGCGTCGCCCCGGGTACGTAGAAGAATGAAGTAGTTCTGTGATATCGGTAGATAGCAAAAAGGAGTTTCACTGGACATGGTAAAACAACACAGTGATGGAGGAATTGCTAAAGAATATTTTTTTATTTGGAGAGCTGAAGTTTGTTAAAAAAAACAACTGTTACGGTCGAGATGGCACTGCACCAGGTAGGAGCGAATTCTGTCAGCGGAGCTAGAAAGTAGTTTATTGCGTTCGCTACCAGTGCCATAAAAATACGTGTCGTGGCACAAACAAAGTGGCTGAATGCAAAAACAATGAGAATCCGTCTTAAGATAATCGCCTTTAAAAGTTTTTGAGCAGTAGTTGAAATGCACAAAAAAGTCATAACACGTCAAGTCATAGTAGAAAAACAGGTTGTGGAGACAGCAAACGTGTTAGAGATACCAAAGTGACGATCCGAAGGCAGTTACCTCAACTGTAAGAAAAAAATTATCCCTTGATCTTACTATCCCCATCAATTGGATACAAATTCACCAAAGTCCATTTTACGGAAAAGGAAAACTTTCGGAGAGACGATGGATTTAATTGAGATAAGAAAAGGCGAGATAGGTAAGAATAAACGCTAAACAGGCTTAAAGGAATTAATGAATCACTTATTTTGAAGTAATAAAGCAGGAAGAAATGATAACAAGATTTTCAAGGGTTTCACCTCAATCGTCTTTCAATAGAAATGAAATGACAATTACGGAAGGGACGATAGCACTTAAGATTACTCGAAGCTCAACTAATTGGGAACGGCAACGGCAACAAAGGTTAATCAAACCGGTAGTCTTTAAGGTGACGAAGGCCTTTGAGTGTGAACAATGACAATAAAATTGACGCACTTTTTCGGAAAGGAACTCACAGGCTTAAACTTTTCACTTAATAGAATCAACTCCTGCTCAGGATTGCAATGGGGTAAAAAAGCCACTTTGAATATCATAAACACTCCACGCCCTGCTCATACAAGACGAGTTTAGAAATGACAAAGCTTTAACTATCGATGGATAAAAACTGCAATGCTTTGATGACTTACTTAAGTCGTCTTTTTGGTTCGCCGTTCTGCCAGTAGCCCCCTAAACCCTCTGTACGTCTATGCTACATATTCTGCCAGGGAGGAATTGAAGCGAAACCGTACGCCCGCGAGACCATTGAAAACACCGTCCCATATTGAATGCCTGTTTTTACACCAGTACTCTTAGGATTAGTAATGGGGGCACGTGATGGCCCGCACATTCACCCTTCCCAAAACAAAGAAAGCCTAGATGAGGTAGAATTGTCAAGATGGATCAGTGGCGTGGCAATAAGAGCATCTCTGTTGCACTCAAATTTGCTGGTTGGTGCGGTTGGTTCGTGGGTGTTCTTTCAGCACCGACTACGTTATGATGGCTGACGCGGAGGTTTGGCTAAGAGGAGCGCCGGGGGCGTCGCCCAGATGAAGGGGGGGGGCTATGTAGTACCTTAGTTATTTAACTATTCATTTCGGATTCAAGGGCACTTGAGGCTATGCTTCCTCAACTCCACTGGGTGTCGTGGCCTAGTATTATGCATTCTTTCGCCTTCAGGGAAGTCTTGAGACTACAAAATATCTTGGTATGTAATCCATGCTCTTTTCTGTTATGTCTACGCTTATGCGTTTCAAAAGTCCACTATTTAAACCCCAAATTTCGTAAATTTTGCAAAATCACCCCATCCGATGGCCTTTATTTGTTTCTATCTTTTAAAGAACAGGTTTTACCAACTTTTCCTAATACCATCTATCAAGTTGCATAAACATGGCGAATATTTACCTCCGAGACCGCGTGGTTATGAGAAGCCGGCACAAATCCAAGATTTAACTTGATCCCCCTGCAGCCCCTAAGGTCGGATGGCCCCTTAAATACAAGCTTAAAAAATGCAGCCTTTAGGCCACAGAAGTAGCAGCCACAAGCAATCAAATCCGACTTTTAACCAATAAATGAAAGGAAATTTCACTACGCCTGTTAAAACGGAGGAAAAGGTAAATACACAGTGGGCTGGAGGTTTAGGACAACTGTTGAGAAAAAAATGAAAAATGACAACAAAACGCCTTGGATACGACAGCAAATAAGTTAGCTCGTGAGCTGGCTCAAAAAAACGTCACATGACTGCATTAGCATACTCGGAATTCGAGGTTCGACGGTCCTCAATTATCAATGTCCCAGTCTTAGCGACAAAGAGATGTGATGAATTGGATTAAGAAGCACCAGGAATGCTTCATTTGGGCAAAACGGTCAGTTTCGTAGGAATTCTAACCGTAGTCATCAGTAAATCTCCTGATATTGTCATATTTAACAGCTTGAAGGTCGAGAGTAATTGATGACGATACTAAGAGCCAAGATGCAACTCCCCAAACATGAATCACTCACTTAGATAGAATATCCATCTGCTTCAAATGGAGACACTTCATATTTCAACTTTTGTGGAATGTGGCTCATGTAAGGCATTAGTTTTCTACACTGCTTCTAGAGCGTTCATGTATCTGCCAAGTAGATGAGTACAAGACTGCTATTTCTGCTTGGGAGTAACAATTGGTCTAAGATAATACATAAATGCACTGAGGAGGAACGGTGCTCCATCATGTATACTGTGTGAATAGAGGATAGCTAAAAGGTAGGTCTTCCACCAGCATGAGGGTCCACCTCACACAGACATTTTATGAATGGGTTAAAATCTTCAGAAAATGGTCGTACAAGCGTCTTGGATGCAGAGCACTACAGACGCTAAGATGGCTACAACCACGATCTTGAGAGCTGAAAAGGGCGCTGAAACTGATTCACGAGGACATAAGAATAACAATAAGGAAAACGAGACCGCACAGGAAGGTGAAAACATGTAAAAGCTATTCAACTGTATTGAAATAAGTAAATTCTAGAGTTTTTGGGCAGACTTTTTGAAAGTCACCTATATTGCTGAATAATTTTCTCCATTTTATTTACTTTTTTTACCGACTGCTTTTATTTACGCCCTTTTCCTACTGTTGGCCAATGAATGCGCTCCAAAGCTTTGTGTCGTCTGTGTATGCGGGGCAATTAATGGAAAAGGCGACCTTATTGATGGAAAGGCATTTAAGGAATGTTTTACGATCCAGATAAGCATGATTCAACGACATTGGCGATTTGCCTTTTCTGTTTAAGTTGGAATTTGCTATAAAGGGAAGAGGGGCTACGTTTGGTCGTCTCCAGGCTGCCCATGCGACTACTTGTACCCGGTGAAGCAAATGCACCTTCAATTTAGCAATGATTTGTCAAAACTTATAAAACGCACAAGGTGATAGGTGCTCTTCTAGAAAGCACAAGAGTCCGCGTATGAAACCGGTCAAGAATAGCCGTAATATCGTGACACATTTTGGAGAGAAAGAAGAGGACGAAAGCACAAAATTTGCTGTTGCACAACAACACCTCCACACCACCGTCGGATTTGAAATCATCTGACTTCTACCTCTTCGAATTACTTCAAGGAAGCCCAAGAAGAGGAATGCTATCACGTAATTGATTGTGCAAAACATCTGAAGATCTCTGAACGTCTCCCAAAAGAAAAATACTACGAATCATAACGCCTTAAAAAGTGGGCTATCATGATTTGTCTCCGGAAAAAAAGGGGTCATTAGAACCAAAATATCCTACTGTTGCTACATGCCATCTACACTTGCACCACCGATCCAATATTTTAATTACTCCTGAAATAACTTCATAAAATGTAGCTATCCTCAGGCCAGGAACAATCCACATCTACTTTCCGTGTTTTAAAATCCACCAACATGTTCGCTAATGAGCAACACATGTCACACATCTGCGACGGTGGTGTCAGGTGAGAGAACGCGTTGACATCATCGATGAACCAAAATTGGTATAAGGATGCTAATAGGTGATGGACGACGTTCAAATCAAGATTGGGGCCGTACGGCATGCTGGTATTCCACTTAATTGTACTTAAGACTATGCGGGCCCTTACCACAATATTCGTGTCCCCAAGCCTTTCGGCCTTACTACAATAGTAATGCACAAAGTGGCGCCTTATGGTCTTCTGAAGAGCTACCCCGACACTATAGCAGTTGGCGGATTATTTGTGCAAGCCTACATCCTTTAATTTCGTGACAGAATAAAAATAATTGTTGCAGATAGTGTGTTAGAGCAGTTTTTCCTTACGCAAACATAAGTTTTAGATGAGTTTCAACAAAAGAGTTCCAACTGTAGTAAATTCCAATACTTTAATGTTCAATTCGTCAAATCAGTTCAAAAGACGGTCACAAACTAACTTCAATTCTGAGACCTCATAACACGCTCTTTACACATACGCGAGTTTTAAACGTTCCTTACTTGAACAGCTCTGGACCCAGCCTCCCAATATTTGTTTTCCTAGTTTATTTCTCCAATCTATCCAGCAAACAGAGGTAAACTTACTTCAATCCTAAGACCTTGAAGCACCTCCTTTACCCGAGAAGTGAGAACCGCATCAGTCAACGCCGCCAATGCTGGAACAAAGACCCTAATGCGAATGGGCCTTCGACGTCGACGTCTCAAGTCTGGTGAGCGTCCAACCAGACAGGCCAATTGGAGGAGAAAGAAGCCACTTTTATCGAAGAGTTGCCGCTTCTCCCCTCCTCCATCATCAAGCCATTGGCCGTAGAGAGGTCCAACCGGCCAGACATCCAAGTACGCCGGTTTGGCATGGATGAAGATACCACGAATGTGATTCGGTGGAGAACTCATCACCAGCTCGAATTCATCACAGGCCAGGGAGTGGAAATGACGAGCCAATAAGATGTTTTTCTAAGGCATAAGCATAGGGCATCAATATGAATGATTCGGCCTCTGTTTGATAGTACTATTTACATGCAGTGAAGCCTAACAGAAGAATAATCGTTTATATAATGCACTTAAATGCACGGGATCTTTCAATCTCTCATGATTCGGCCTCCACATCAACCATGCTAACAGTTTCTCAGCTCTCCTGCACTTTGAAAATAACTTCACTCCCAGAATGCCATAGCCCATTGCAACTTGAGAGTTAATTCGGGTGGCAGGTTAGAGGTAGCAGTAAGTGCAGCAACTAAAAAATGAGAACATTCGTAATATCGTTTGCTAGATGCTACACCCAAACGTCACATAAAAAATACGTATACTGCAGATGGCGGAATCCGTAGAAACTCATAACAGAAGAGTTTTCAAAACCATCTCGAAATGAAGCAGGAACAAGTTTGAACGAATTTGAAGAAATTGAATGCAGTATTTAAATGAAAATACCGATTCATGACCTTTCCCTAAAGGTAAGATACGTTTCTATGCTGCAGGAAATGGCAGTGTGGCAGGTGTGGCCAGGTGGCATTAATAAAGGAAGGGATATCGCTTAATCATATATTTTATTAAAACGATCGAGCACTCAGGTAAAAGTCCATAAAATACTCTTATTATACAAAAAAATGCAGTCCCAAGCAATGCTTTCTAGATAAAAATCTTAAATACCGAGGAAGTGACATGAATTCCCCCGAAATTTACATATTGTAGCACCATCACTGAACTAGAAATTCCCACCGTAATGATGACAATCCAACCCATCACAGCCGATGAGGGGGAGTAAACACCATGGCCAAAGAGGACAGCTGTAAAGGACAGCAGAAGGACGCCTGTTTTGGGTGTGCATGCAACATTATGCAGGTCTTTCTAGTCTCCCGTACTTCAATTTGTGCCACCAGTCCTCCAGTCTTCATATCTACTACACGTGAAGATCAACTTGCACGTTCCATGATACTTGCAGGGGCGATTCAAGGAACGCACAACCTAGCACGAAGAAAATCACCAAAAGTGCTTCGCATAGTTTGCTAGAAGAAGTCCAATGCGCGAAATGGGTAGTTGTGAAAACACCTAGTCCCTACCTGTGAGGGGTAATGTACGACTATTGAGCCTTGACTTGTGAGAGGATTATTCACACCCCAAGTGACCAATCACAACTCCTGCCCCCATCATTTCACCCAGTCAGTTGGATTCGCTAGATATCCTCCGACTATAACAGATCCCATGGAACAAACAATGGATACATAAGGCGGCAATAGACCATCAAAAGAATGTCATTAGTGCTTTCAATGCATACTTGATTGTGAGCGTTGATGACACCAAAGGATTGCCGAAAGAATCCTAGGCCGATTAAAGACGCGAAGCAAAACAACGTGATGATGACTTCTTGCCTAACTTATGCTTCGGACTCCATCCATGTATCTACCTTGCCTAATTTTCAAACCGCCAGGCTATTACTAGAACAGGAGGTACGTCACAACTTGTTACCGTAACAGCTTTTTCAAATGGCTTATCTGCGACAAAAATAACACCTAATAAAAAAGAATTTCCACTGAAATCATTTGCAAACGTTTTGCTAGTCACAGACCCATCGACAAGCTGTCTCATTCGTTTAATGTTCGGATTTGTAGAAAGTGCTGCATTAATTGAGAGGTCGTTTCAAATAGTGAGAATGGAATACCTTAGCAATATCCACAATGCAAAAAACAGCAGAATTGAAGCTTCAGGGTAGTTTAAGACACCAAGTTTACTTATCAAACATATACGAAGGTGGTTGCAAATGTTACGATACGGATTTTTCCGATACAGAAAGATGTCAGCCAAGTGGGTGCTCCAGTAAAACGCCCCTGCCTACGCAGCACGAAAATAAACGCGCAATGCACACATTGAAGGTGTCACTTACTACGTCAAGGGATGACAAAAGAATATTCTCCCAAAAAATGTCAGAAAAAAGGTAGTCGGTGTTACTTTCCTGCAAGTTTCGATTCCCAGCCACATGGATGCAATCTAGCTGCGTTGGCCGCAACTGTGTATGTTTCGCCTGTCGGGTGAGCCCTCTTACCAATACCCGTCTTGTAGGAATTAAGACAAGTGCAGCACCTCAGCGTTATGCTTTGTCGTATAAACGCAATTGTTGAAAATTCAGCTAAATTGTGGAAATCAAGCACCCTAGCCAATGAATAGAATGGGGTACTTATAATAAAGCGAAAAGTAAATAAATGAATGAAGTTCGAATTTGACATTTTTCACCTATAGAAAGTTGAAGGTGTGGCTCAAGGCAGGGATACTTGCGCTGTCTTACAAGTTAAAATTCGGAACTAATCACCAAATCGACTCATCTAGACTATCTAAAAATAGACATAGCTCCACTTTGAGAGAAGTCACTATTTTTGGTCGACGAGATCGGTTTGCAAGTAACAAGTAAGTGTCAACGGTTAGTTCAAATACTAACTCCAGTCTTGTAGAAAATATTCGCCAAAGTCACTTAAAAATGAAGCTGTCAAAGGCGTTACACAAACGTTTAGAAATTTCCGCTTGGTGGTTTCAAAATAACCAAAGGTAGAATCACTTTTCACTTAGGAGCTGAGGTGTACATAAAAAAGTGAAAATTTAAATAATGCTAACTGGAAGGTTAAAACGTGGCGTTGAAACAGGGACGATGACAGTCATCACATGAGCAAAGACAGCTAAGGGTAAAATTCCAAGGTAGTACTCCTTACCAAAATCAAATACCTGACTTACAGGTTTCCCTCTAAGAGACACACTCACGCTAGTTATGGGGCAAAAATGTGAATAATTGAAGGAAAAATTGGACCAAAAAAGCAGGTTCACAAAGTTGTTGCCAGGGTGATAGTAATGTAGTTCCGATCCTTCCCAAAATAACCACGGCGATCTTCGCCAAGGGTGAAGAAGTAAGTTATGCCTGTTTTTTTAGAGAAGTTTGATCCAGTTCCTTTCCCATCAACTTTTTTTTCAATTAAACCAACTTCAGTAAAAAAAGCTGCTTCTTGTGGGATAAAAAAATTATCTCAGTTTATCTACATAACATTTATTGTCCTCCCAAAATCCATCACTGTATCAAAATTTGATCTGCAGACATACATATTAATTTCTGAAAAAAAAAACACTTAGGATTACAACAACGCAAACAGAATGCCCATTAAAACGGGCACCATTGAATAGGAAATTAAAAGTAATCACTTCAGTCACAATCCAGGTGCGATAACGTGAGAGGAGGGAAACCATGTTTGAATCATCTAAAAACATTAAAATTGAAATCTCACTTGAAAGGGAGAATTTACTAAGAGATTTTTATTTTTTTGTTTAATTTTAGAGACATGAATTTGATAAAGCCGTTTTTATGGGAAAAAAGTGAGACAAATGGGGGTGGTTCTATTACAACACGGTCAAGAAAGTAACATTATAAGAGAGAAGTGGCGCTACCAGGATTGTGCAGAGAAATAGGGACTATGACACCACGATAAGAAGGTATTAGGAAGGTATTAACAAATCACGATTGAAGTAATGTATCCAAAGAGATTTTTTGTCCCAAGTGTTACACAAAAAGAACAAATTGTTTCCTGTAGACTTCTTTAGGCGGATGCACCCGTAAGGTACCAATCAACACCAAAAATCACGCAAACCGCTGAACTTTTAGCCAGTAAACTAGCAAGATGTCACGCGGCACCATACAAGGTCGAGTATTTAAAAAAGTATGAGAACTGAGGGATCCAAAAACCGAATTTGCCGTTTAATCCCGTAGCATAAACAGAGACCAGGCCTATTTACATAAAACACTGACCAATTCCACTGCATTAAGTATGAGTTCGGTAAATTGATAGGTGAGTTGGTCTGCTTCTTGATACAGTCAGCGGGGGAAACAAACCTTCATTTTCACCAGATCTTCTAGCAGGGTGACGTATTCCAACGGGGAGAGACGTTTCTGAAGCACATGACCGGACGGAGGTTGAAGTGGGGGAAGGTAGGCGCGTCGTGGTTGAGGTAAACGAATCGAGAAGTCCTCAGTGTCTAAGGGGCGAAGAATGTACTAATTTATGCTGATCAAGGACCGCTGACTTTGATTTCTACCGAACTAGCTAAAATGTTTTGTTTAATGACTAAATACCACAGGAATTATAAGGCTCTTTTGAATGTTTGCACTATGAACAGTCTAGTTTCGACGTTTGACCTCAAAGTAATCTTTTGGAAGGAGGCTACCTTACCGTTTGAGTAAGACTGAATAGTTTCAAGCGCAACAATGAACCAGGCTGTTTGAATGGTTTGAAAAGCTTTAGGATGAAATTCAACCAATGAAAAGTTACCTCTCAAAACTTTTCTTGTTTTCGTGCCTCTTATTCCACACATGTGATAAATTCTACCAGTTACATTTTTATACTTTGAAATAATTCCACCGGCAATTTATACATGACATGAAGACCGTGTTTCGATGCAGTTGCGAATATCCGCGCCTACAGGCTCTCCTCTCGTCTTTGTCGCATAGAATTTTCATATTAAAACCAAATTGCATTGCCAACTGTTACATTTTTCAGATGGCTTATGACGTAGTCAGGTAAGGAGGGTAGTGTCAATAGGTACACATATTCCGAAACTATGGTTGAACAGTGCGATAAAGTATGGAACTGATGATGAAAACCTTTCAAACATAGGGTCCTGGCTTTTTAACGGAACGCATCACATGAGACTAAAACGCGGGCCTCGAGGGGTTAGTGTCACATTCCCATATCTTTTAGCTGTAACACATGCTGATCAACAGGCCGTGGCCAGGAGATGCAAAATTTTAGTGAAAACTGGCCCCCTCTAATCTCGTTATGTGATAGCAGCACTGGTGATAAGCGCCTTTTCTCTTGTCACGCCTGTGATGTTACAAGGCCATGAAATTAATGAATTTGGATAATATCTAAATACTTCTAGCACTTTCGAATTGATGTTACAGTTTATAACCACTAAGATAGACGTATAAAAATTAGGTATGAAAAGTCTAAAGGATTGAATGTGATGCATAATCCGTCAAGATTTGAAACACAACATATGCATACTTACTATATGTGGACAAACAGCGTAAAATATGGTCTGAAAAATTATTTATTCAGCAGAAACCTTTTGGTTAGAAATTGCATGCATATTTGGCGACCAAGACAGTTGTATTATGGAAACACCCAAATTCAACGAACTAATTTATGTAGGAACAACGGTACAACTGCCTATGAACCCAAACTCTTGGGAACAGACTTTGGAAGACCGAAATTGGTAAACTCAGCATATGCATTGCCTAGGAGACAAAAGTTCGATTTCATAATGTCTGGAGCCCAAACAATCTATTCAGTGGAATCTTTTGGGGGAATGGAAGCATAAGGAATAGAACTTAGGCGAGATGAACGCCCAACAAGAAGTTTTTGAACGGTGGAGAAAATTCCAGTTTAGCAGAGATTAGGCTAGTTACGTGTTTATAGACTTAACCAAACCACAACGCCCCGGGCGTAGCCGCACATCATCCTTCTCATTCGAAGTACATAAAAGTTATCCTGCAAATAAAACCATTTTAAATGATGATTGACGTGTTAACTATTAAAGTAGAGTCGAACGAACAGCCATGGAAAAAGTATCGTCAAGACTGTATTAACTATAATCAGTTATGTTTTATAATACGAAGAGATTATAATACATAATAATAACATACTGACGATAACATGTCTTTACACAGCTCTAAGGTATAGTACTGAAAAGGAATCTTAAATGTCTAGCTTCTGAAGTTGTTAACAAGCGTCCAAAAGTTTAGTGAAATGTGCAATGAACAAACCTAGACCATAATATGTTTACGTATACATAATGCTCAGTGCGACCCAAATCTGGGTAGCATCGACTTCGGTAACTTCAAGCATTAAAATGCAAATGCGAACGTGAATGTTGACAGAAACTTCACGTTATTGCTAGAAAATTTCGACCTACCTGAATGAAAGGTAGTGAAGTCATCTCTGTCATAGGATGGAGGTGTGACATTGCTTTATGTTAAACGCACACTTTCGAGGATAGGACCATAAATACACAACTGATTATAAGCTCTATCAGAGCTGGAAACATCAATGAATGTACCTACGGGGAATCAACACAATGGATTGAGAAATTTCGCTCTGGTAGGTAATTTTAAACTTCACCTTATAAATTGACTGTTTAGGGAAGTCTAGTCAAGGCTAGGATGGTGGATCATGATACTTAAACCACGCGCGAACTGAGAGCACCAACGTTTGATGTGGTTATTAAACCAAGAATATTGTAGAATTTTTGAGAGAAGGCTAAAGTTGTGGGTTTCAGCAGTTGCGCAACTTCTTGTTAAAGGTATAAGGGTAACAAGACTTTGAGTCAGCGTTGAGCAACCCATGCCAAGAGTAACTACCGTATGATTTAATAATTGCAGTTTCACTACTATGGCCAATAAAGAAGACCATCCAGCAGCTCAGCATTGACCCTTCACCGTGATTATACCTAAAGAAACGCTAGGAACGCCTGTAGCTCCAAAAAGCATTCCTATTCGATTTTTTAAAAGACCTCGTTCAGCCCCTCTTGATTGGCACACTCAAGGCCCCGGCTCAATCAGCTACTAGAGGGGTGCCTGGAGTCGTCCAGACAGTACGGACACGCTCAGGTGGTCTTCACTCTCTAGCCTCTGGGCGCACACACAATGTCCGTACCGTCTTGTTTACGCATCACGTTGATAGTCGGGACATCCAAACTGGAGGCCTTATCGACCACTTATCTGGTCGGTGGCCGCGGTGGTAACCGTGGCCGTCATGAGCACAAACACCGGGCCATAGCTATTAAAGTTAGGTTTATAAATGTTAAATAGCTATTCTTTTAGTCCTCTTTTTTTTCGCGCAGTGATGTCCAGGCACCTCTCAATAAAGGAAAAAAAAAATCACGGTGCATTCAGTCACTGAGGTTTCAGATAAGCGCTGTTGGTGCGTGCGTGGACCTAGACACAAAGCTCTTTATTGTGTTATCAAATGTAAAGAACGCCTCAACAAAAGTCCTGCCACTATAATTCAGTCAGGCAATGTGCTGTTTACACTTGGAAAAAGGGTGAGCCAACGCAAACGGAAAGCAGGGTGGTAATGACCCTGTGGCTCAAGTAGGCTGAAATCTGCTAGGTAAGTAAATTCCCCACCCATTAACTAGCTAATCAGTTGAGATAGCTCACAGGTGCTTTGGGGTGAGTCGGGGTCCTCCATGGACACGAGAGTCACCTCGTCGGCTGCCGAATTGGGGGGAGGCCTTGGTCTAGAGGATTGCTTTCCGTAGGACTTTGATTGTCGTCGAAAGCGTATCTTCGCAAAAGTATCCTATCAGAGAAATGAACGGAATCACAGTAAAGCAATTTGATGTGCCCTGGAGGTTGAGTCTCCACACCAGTTCCACACACTCTGCATTATGTTGGCAGTACTTCTGACCCAAAGGCCTCAAAAACATACCCAATGGCTGGGTTGAATGGGCCATTAATTTCATATTTGAATACGCAGATCTCTTGGACTTTTGCAATTCGACCTCCGCGTTGGCAGCATGATGTTCTGCAAATAATTTACAGTCCACCTCGACCTTGGTAAATAATGTCTCCATTTGTAAGCGGCGCTATAAAGCGGTAACCGGTGGAGAAAATGTGGAGGAACTGTGCCTTGACACGGCCTGGATGGGCAATGAGGTAACATCGGAATCTGTCTTCTAGGTGAATGCTTGTAAGAAACGCGATTGGTGGACCAAATGGTTCCGCTGATAGGCATCTTTCAACCTTCAATGCTCATCCGCAAGTAAATTACCGTCATTTACCTCGAGGTGCAGCAAATAGAGTTGAGAACCACTTCACACTTCAGTATTTCGTCTAGTTTCTAAATCTTAGACCGCTGTGGCGATAGACAATTAAAAAGGGTAACGACTGAGGACGGTGAAGACGATATTTAAATCAAAACAGAAATTAATCAACAAGTCCGTGCCATTTTTGTGCCACTGTAAGTTCAGAGACATTTACTTTTTGACTCCTACGCCTTATCAACGTCTACAGGGGCAACTAGGATACTGCAGCAGGGTTGTCAAAAGATTCCCAAACACATGGAAAGAAAGTGGGGAAGGTGTAGTTATTTGCAAGAATTTCCTCCTATCAAAGCAAATTAAGAAAACAAATCAGCAGTCAGGAGGTTGTTCCTTAAGTGCGATCACGGGAGCTACAGTAAGAGACGTGGGAACAAACTATTGGGGATAATTAATAGCCGAGTTTGCAAGTTTAAATAAAAGTCTGAGGATAGTTGGACACAAACACCCATTCAGTGGAATTAAATGGAAAACCTGCATTCAATTGATTAACCAATGAGCTTAGGCATTTCATAGGATTGAATAAACGGAGATTTCCTCACTTTTGCTAATGAAAGGCCTACAAAATAGATAAACCAGCTAAAGGATTTAAAAACATAGGTGGGTACATTTGTATCCTTCATGACCGTATGGCAAACAAGTTAGAATAGCCAAATGTTGCGAGACCTCCACTAGATCAACACTGCACTGCTGTGCTCAAAAAATGGCGTATCAAAAACGCAAATGCCGCTCTCAGCTCCATACAACCTTTACCAACAACCATCAGTAATCCGTTGGTCTATGTCCATTCGACATGTTGAAGAAGTGAGAGAAAACCACCCATGTAAAATTATGTGGTTATAAGAGAATCATAATGCAATCAATACTTTACAAACTAGAATAAATGCCTGAGACACAGCTGAAACAATTCAAAATCAGGTTTATAAATAATCCACCACAAAAAGATGGATGGACAGGGGTAGTCGCCGAAGCATGCTATTTAAATAAAAGCTTACTATAAACTGCTGGGGATTATTTCTTACTAAAAAGTACAGCAGACTACCATAGAACAAACAGACGGGAAAACGCCCCTCACCATGGGTTCAGTATCGTCATAAAAACCGAGGCAAACGGTGTTTGGCTTCATGGCTCCGAGACCAGAGAGACGAACGAGGTGGAGAAGGGCCTCACGAACGCTTTCACCGGCCAGCGTAACTTCAACGAAGGCCTTTACATTCAGGTAGCGCACGTAGCTGACTAGATTGCTAAAAGAGAGGAAAGGGACGTAATGTGTATGATGCCATTTGTGCAGCCGTCAGCATGCATGGAATTCGCTGGATTGGAATTGTCCCAGACTAGACGATATGATAATTCACTTCTGTTACTTGATAACAAGTTGGAAAGAAAAGTATAAAAGAGGTAACTCCTCTCCGAGGTCTAATTCATGCGAATGAACTCTTTCAAGTCCTCAACTTTTGTTAAGGCTTTGCACCTCACTTCAAGGGGCTCAGTATTGCAAAGTTAAAAAGCCCATTGAATCTAGAGGCCAATTCGAGGTATATCTACAGTTATCACAATACCCACGATTTGCCATGTGACATACTTTCAAAATTAAAACTACCTACCGGAAAGTAACCTCTTGATTCCATATTCACCATTGTTGGCCATTAGTTACATGCTTACTAGAAGAACATTGTAGAGCTGTCTTGACTTCTGCATCGGCTTTAGAATGAAGTAAACCAGATATTGGCAGAAAGCCGTGACAAATACATCAAGTCCATGAAAAGACGCATCAAAACTGGGGCGAAGGTAAGTTAGGCATCCCAAACTTGGTCCCGAGACACCTAATCATTTTATTTTAAACGGTATATTCAATCCCCACGCTTAGACACAAAAGTACGCTATACTTATGAAGCAAGCAGAGGACTAGTTATACTTTTCAAAATCTAACAAGGTAATACAACATAATAGCCTCAGGGCTCTTTTGTGCATTCATCGCATTCGTGGATTGCCAAATTCTTCCTACTATTTCTCAAACCGAACCACCACGAGGCTTCAGTAACTTCGATGCTTAAGTACGGATTCAGTTATTGTTTTGCCTGGGCTTCGAGTCATTGATAAACACTGAACATGTTGAAACTTTCGAGACGATATTCACACAGATTATTCTTGGGAAACTATGGTGCGATTTATTAACCATTTTAAGACCTCTTCATTAACTACTATTAACATTCAGTGCCCTAGAGCCAGGGATGGCAAAGAAAATCTTAATTGCCTCACAAATACTAAGCATCAAAGACATTTATATAAAATAAAAAAACCTGTTGTTTTAGTGACAGCTTAACATTTAATCTTGACTTAGTACACTATGAAATCCTAGAAAAAGCTGCAATTCCTTTGTTGATGCTTACAAGACCTTTACACATACCAAAGTACTCCCCCACAGAAGTCGTGCATCTGCCGGTTGGAAAGTCTACGAATTTAAATGTCGTATCCAAAAAACATAGCTTTCCTTGTACATTTTGAAGATGATTTTAACTGTCAGATCTAACGAAATGACTCCAGTCGAAATTGAAATAATGACTTTAGGGTTGCCACTTTTTAGTTGTCCAAATCCCCAAAAATCCTATTTTTTAGAACCAACGATTCAAAAAGTAAACTAAGTACTAAAATTTAACATTCACACAACTTCAAATACCTCATTACGATAACTCTTCTTGCACAAACGGCCGTTTTGGTTACGCGTGCACTTAAGGCTCGGCCTTTGAACTTCCGCTAGACGGAATGGCCTCTGAGCCATGACAGTAGCTCCCAGCCCTTATCTAGACCAATAATACACATTCTGCTCGAGTATTATCCCTTCCTTCGTCTTCAAAAACGACTCGGGGAGCTACATGAGCTTCAGTGGAAAGCAAATCCGATCCTAATAAATGATTGCCCTAATTTTCATTTTTGAATGGCAAATCTCAACGTGATGGGAGAAGAACATATTCTGGGGATGGGAGAACCTGTGGCGACACACAACACAAGGGTTGGAAATTGCGTCTATCTTCGGCAATTACCCCAGTCCCGCGTTCCGCAGAAATGTTAACAAATAAAGCGACACTAGTCGGGAACCATCTGGAAAAGTTCGTTAGAGAGTTGTCTACGGTGCCAGCGTAAAGATGCCAACGAAGCGAACATGCGATACCTCCGATAGCGCGAAAGAGCCCAGATAGATATGGTAGGGCAGTACTGAAGTGAAAATAAAGAGACAAGGAGGAATAGATGTGGAATCTTGTCCCCACGAAAATATTTTCAACCCCACCCCTTATTGGATGATTCTACTTTTCGGCCAACGTTCTCACGACTAGTAATGGACATACAAGATGGGCAGCACATCCCTCCTTCTCCCACTATAATTCCCAAACAAAATGAGACTCCAGATCTAGTGGAATTTCCAAGAATGATCAGTAACGTTACGATCAAATGTCTTAGCTGCACGCAAATTCGATGGGTGGCGCGAATGGTTCTTGGGTGTTTTCTTTCTTAGAGCACCGACCACTTTTTACGGCGGACGTGGGGGGCTGACCGAGGGGAGCGCAGGAGTTGACACTCAAAAGGAAGGAGGGACTGCGTAATGCTTTGAGTATTTATTTGGTTCTTCGTATTGGTTACGCGGGAGCTTAAGTCTCCGCCTCTGTACTTTCGCTGGGCAGAATGGCCTCCGAGCCATACCATTAGTTGCCTAGTCCTTCCGTATGTCAGCCATGCATATTCTGTCCGCGTATTAAAACTTCTTCAAAAAGGACTCGGGATGCTACAACTTTATGATTTTTTCGTTTTATTCCCTCCGTAATACCCATTTAATTCCTTGATCATACTGTTTTTGCCCCTTAATCGGAACAGCTGAAATTTATCTAATTTCACCAAAAGAAAGGATAACTGTAGGATGAAAAAAAAAACCGAAGTACTTAAAATTACGCTTGTTTTAAGTGTCAGTTTCATGAAAGACATGGTTTAGTTTTTACACAAGGTAAGCCCAAATAAAGAGCATAAAGAAAGCGAAATTCCTTCACGTTCATGCCAAATTTAAATCGTATAAAAAAGAATAAGATGATTCTAACGGAAATCAGTTACAGTGAAGATGCAATGCTTGAACTTGGTCGGTAAGTTAAACCAAACAAAGACTAAGTCAACAGAGGTCCACTTAGTAGAAATTGTAAGAAAAAAAAGGATCCAACACTTGTGATAAATGCAATCGTTGAATAGAGTTAACGGGAAAAGATTTAATAAATGACCTTAATTTAAGTAAACAAGTAAGCAAGGTCAAACACATTTGTCACGGCGGTTTGCAGTGACACGAGATAGCAATAGTCCAGGTACTAATTTTGGCATGAAAGTTTGTCAACGGATAATTCTTACCAAGCAATTCAATTTGTTCAGTCGTGTAGTGACTGGATAAAGTACTTGAGCTCTGTTTTCCATAGGAAAAGTTTACCAATTTACGAAGTCTTTTTAAAGGGAAATTAACTTGGAAGCAAAAATGTCTAAGGGAAATGGACGAATAACGAAAAAAACTTCTGACATCTCACTGTGCAAAGCTAGAAGTATAAAACTTACGTGGCAGAAATCGCCATTACACAATTAGATGGAGGCCAGTTATGGAGTCCTGACTACTGGAAAGGCTATTTCGCATGATTTGCGCGAATGAGAATTTGTTTTGCCAAATCATTTTTTTGCCTGTACGTAGTACCGAAATGGGCATGCGTTAGTTTAAAAACATTGCACTGCAATCAGTTGTAGCTTGTAGACCTGTAAAAGGCATGCAAGATTCACTCACTTCTCCAGGCTTCAAAGACACCACTTCATCCCTAGATAACTGCACATCCCTGCATGATTGTGTGCGATACACACCAAACCTGACTGCTTACCTGTTGAAAACCAAGCAGTTACGCGTGAGACTTATCTCTACTTGATAAGATACAACTCTGTTTGTAAGAAAGAGCTAGGACTAGTGAAGTAGTCAGAAGAAAGCCCCGTTCCCATTCCTACAAGAGAGTGCAAAATCTTATTCTATGAACCTTAATTATGAGAAGATTTGCGCTTTAGGGTAAAAAAGAGGCAGTACCTAACCCTCTGCATTCGCCTAAGTATATTTCTCCAGGCGCTCCTCACCTTTACTTGGCATGAGAATCGGACAATTACATGATTACATGCGAAATGAAATAGGCAGTTGGGAATTAAAAGTGAGATAAAAGGGAGGTGCCTGTGGCTAGGTTTTCTCTTAAACCCTGGCGACAAAACGCTCAATAAAGGGACTCGGAAAGACTTAAGTCGAAGACTGCATTGGTGGTTATTTCAGCAAATAAAATACTTCGAGAAGCTTTCTACGTTTGCTAGACCTTTATTGAGAAAAAAGACACAAATCCATCTAATAACCTCGTGGAAGAATACCGCAAGCGTGGCTACATTTCTGTAGTCAGGTTGCAGAAGAAGCCCAAACTGCACTTACAACCTTTACCTTTAACGGGAATTCTAGCATTACCAATGCAGAACTCCCATTAACAAATCTACGTGAGAAGGTGCTTATTTAATCAAAACTCAGGGCTGCTACATCAATTTACTCTGATTTCAGCTATCTTTCAAGTTCTTGGACGTTTATTCAGCATTTGCGCTCCTAATGATCGTAAAAATAGCTGGCTAGAGGTTTAAAGCCCTCTGTACCTGCTCTTTCTGAATCTTCCAACTAAGTGCGGTGACTCCATATGCACTAATCGCACCTCCTGTTCACAAAAAGGCGCATGATAAAATTCCGTTCTTCTATGGTGCGTCTATGCACAATTGTTACAACCACATTCATAGCAGAGCAATAATTCATGCTAAATTGAAAGGACAGGCGGCTTGTCAAGCAGAAGTAGCCAAACGATAAACTCAGGTATGACCAATCACTCCTCACTTCACCTCCACCACCTTCAAAGCTAAAATGCAAATATGAAGAGAAATTTACCGTTTCCTGCAAATCACAAGGCGATTCAGAGAATAATCTAAAACTTGATGAAAAAAAATCGCTACAAATATCAAATACACTTGATCCTTATCTTATATGAGTACAAAAGGCTCAATTGCGAATTGCTAAGACGAATAGTAATGGTGGCGAAAACCGGGCAAACACCACGCAAAACGAGTGATGTAGAAACATGGATCACAGCTAGATCATTGGGTAAGAGATGGACACGTGGATGGAACATTAGAAAGGTCCAAAAGATGCTGCAAGATTGCAAAGACATTACCAATGGGAATAACGTCAAATTTTGGTGTCAAAGTCCCAATCTAAACTATACAGCCAATTTTGGCGTGGAAAAATAACGTCGGGTCCATATGTTGAGGGGCGCAGCATCTCACATCGGGGGATCTTGGCCTTTTGCCTTATGTAGACATTGTCGTTCGCGTCCATGAACATTTGCTTGTAGAGCAAGTTCCTATCATATATGACAATGTAGCTAGTAAGCAATGAAAAAGTCGAATTTCTGAGAATTTCCACTCCGGTAGGCGATGTGAAATTGAGGCTAGTCAAGCAGTGTAGGAAACAGGAAACCTTGTTTACGAATAACAAGTTTAAGTTCACCACGACAGCATTAGATACTGACATTACGAGAAAATGTATTTAAAGTAGTAGTAAGGAGTCACTCAAAAAAAAACCTAAAAAGTGTCAGGGAATCTAGATGGTCGAATCAAAAGTGTGTGAGATAAACGAATCAGGAGGTAAATAGTCCCAACAATCAAGGGAAAATTGGCTTCTAGAAACAAGTGAATCTTTGCTACTGAGTCACGAGTGGATGGTGAACCACGACTACGTCTTATTGGCCTTTGGTCGACAAAGTAGGAAAAATGAGAACGTTGTCCGAAGCCAATTATTTGCATTGCATTCACAAGATCTCATAATTCCCGGATGACATGACTATTTGCAGCTCCAGTTCCATATCATAAACAAGTGATCGAGTTGAAGAAATAGTTCTATGAATAGGAGGTCGAGATCAGCCAGGGCAGTAGAAACAAATCAGGCTCATGCAAAGTGACACTCGCTCAACCATAACTCTTCTGCACAAGGAACCACCGATACTGGATAATAACAACTATCCGTTACTCCTTATTTAGCTCCAAGCTTCCAAACATCTCGCTCAACCCGCGAATAGCGTTTTCTTCGAAGATCTTAGCCCCTCTTCGTCTTGAAAAGAATTGAAAAAGAATGTTGTTTTAATTGACATCTTACAAATTGTAAACTTTTGTAATAGATGGGTAAAGAAATTAGACATGGATAAGATTTGAATGCATTATTTAGGAAGTTTCCCAATTCAACTAAACGCTATGACCACTTGGTCTCAAAAACCAGTTTCTGCTCTCTATTGCGTGAGGCAGTTTTCGTGGTTTCGGATGGATTTATAGCAAGAGTGGAAAGAAATCATGTGAGAATAAACTATTTAGGATGTTTACTATTTGAAATATGCAATACCTGGATAATTGATATGCTAACAAAAACTGTACCGAATCTCTAACTGACAGTAAAAATATGCACCAACGAACCTGCGAGCGACGCAGCACACATCGTCAGCATCATCCTCGAAGCTGTTATTGTTAGACTTGGAAGACCGATCAGGTGCCACTACGTGTCCAAGGACGTAGAGACCACCCTTCTTAACCGAGTTGACGAATTGGACCAGTAGCGCAGCGGAGCGGGGATTTGCGAGGAGAAAGAGGATCTGAGGACGCCAGTACTTCACGTGTTCCTTTGAAGCGTCCAAGAGAAGGAGGTACTTACGAACCTACGATGGAGAGACGTAACTCAGGAGCAGGGAATAATCCATTAGCACCCACGCCATTTTCAAGGCAAGGAAAAGTCTGTACACATCAAATACTAGAATTTGTCGACAACATTGAAATCGTGAGAGAAAAACAATAAAAGCTGGAAATCATTTGCTTGATGTCTAGTCATACCTACAAATCTACTTACATTAAAAGGTAAAAGAACTAAAGAGGATCTAAGAGTAAGCGATCCTTCTAATATTCAGAAATGTTGACCACCCGTCCAAGCTTCACATTAAAAAAGCCTTCCAACGTGCAACTGCAAAAGATGCTTGCAAACCTGCATTAGTGATGGTAAACGGACAAGGGTAATAAAGGATTATTCATGTAGTCTCTGCAAATTTTCCTGAGGTTAGTTCCACGACTAAATGTTCAAAACGGGAAACTCGCGAACTTGTAGAGGAGATGGCAAATCTACCAAGAAATATCAAGAACTACCCATTCGGTGTTTAAATCCTTTATTTAATGTATACATTTAACATCGAACAGTTCAAAAATACTTTGACACGAAGCCGCGGGGTCAAATGCATCTCTACCAGTTCAATCAACACTACAAAGGATCAATTTCAACCTTCTAAAACTATGGTTGATAATGCGTGAGAGAAACTGAGAACCACCCATTCATTAGGAAGATGAAATTACGGATTCTGTTTAGCGCGGCATTAGTAATTTTTGATTTTCTTTGTCAGTGTTGACCAAAGTAAGTCCAGTAATGAAAAGACAGTTTACACTGTAGCAGCCTGGTGGCTAAAACCTTGATGAAATAGACTATCATAAATTGTGGAATGGAGTTTAAGTAAATCGGCTGGCATAGGGGAGCTAATTCAAGAGCATCTAACTACAATATACATTCCCAAACAAAAGTTGGAAACGATGGCAAGAAATACACCGAGAAAATTAATGACCATCTACATAAGTGACGCTCACGCCCTTCCATTACCCAGAAATATAACTTAAATAATTAAAGGCCCCCAGGTGTTTGCCAACTAAATTATGATAGGCGCATCCCAATCAAGTGGGACGAGACTAACGCAGTAAAAACGTGTGAGCTACTCAATTAGCCTTTGGTGATGCCTTGGCGGCACAAAGTATTGTGGAGAGTTTAGTAATTCAATCATCAGATACCGGGAAGGTTTTAATAAAACTAAAATTTAATAATATTAGACCGCTTCGATTCGGAGCTTTGATAGAATGTTTCAATTAAAAGGCAATGTGATTATGCAGTAATGCACACTTAGGTTACCAAAGATCGCCAATAAACAGTTAAAGTAAAATGGGACTATTAATTCCAAAACTCAGTTCTTAAGGTATTCGGACGCTTCATATTGAATGCACTAGCAGGCTCCACCCAGTGAGCCCAATTATTTGAAACACGGACCTATGCAATGGCTTCGTGAAACCCCTTTGTAGATACCTGCCACTGATAGATTACCAATTGATTGAAGGATTCAGATACCTCAGCTATGATTTTTAATGGTTGAGCACAGCTTTTCTCCAAGTTTAATTGAACACTACATCAGATTAATGTTTGCCTACTGTAATTGACTGAACAATAGAAATTTTTAACCATTAACCTGTACTAGCCCTCTACGAATCGTAAAAAATTACTTGCAGTTTAAAATACCGTTCCAACGTATACAAAACGAAAGCACACACCTAAGCTACAAGGCCTAACACTAGCTCATTTGCATCGACAACATGTTGAACTATTCCAAGCACATTTGGACCATTAAAATACCATTTCTGCTACCTATATATAGGCTCAACAATAGATAGTGTTGGCAGAAATACGCTTATCAGATGAGTACTTTGGTGGGTGAAAATGTAAAAATTTAAAAAGCAACACAAGAGAATATCCTAGGTCGTGGTGATGCAATAAAATAAAAGCTATTTATCCACGTAAAACAGTCCTTGGGGCGTTTTCTCTGCTTTAATTGCCACCGTTCATGCAGGTGAGTCATGCCATCCCCGCCATCGTTTGGTTCGCCCTATACTTAATGGTCGAGAAATCTGCTTTGTTCCGCCGCCCGCCTCCTTTGAGCAACTTACCAATCATGCTGACCTGGAGTGAAGCAGTTTTTTGCTTTTATGGGAAAGCACAACCTAGCTCATTGACGAAGCTATAAAAAAAACCGTACCTACCCGACAAAAAGATGCATTAGCCAGAGCTATGAGATGAAACAAATCGGACCAGCAAACGTATTTCTATTAAAAATAAGTGACACTGAAAAACAGCCGTCTTGAAAAAATTTTTGGAAGAACTAGACGCAAATGAGAGGATTCAACACACCCGGAGAGGAAGTTGATAGATGAAGGTGATAAGCCAGATAGTAGAGACTAAAACAAGTTTATCAAGTGAAAGAATTAAAAGCAATGTCAAATTAGGAAGTTTCTGTTATTTCCACACAAATGGGTATCTGTACTTAGAGTGCACCTTCATAGGTACCACATCGCAACACTCCGCTGTTAAACATCTAAACATAGTAATATTCACGTGCACTACATGAATAAGGTAGTGATGACTATCAATCTTTTGCTTTAAACATAAATCTAACGCCAGACTCCACAAACCTGGTGATAGATTAGAGCCTGGCCAATATTGCCCCAAGAGACAGTCATATGGCGATGGTGGAGGCAGACAACCAGAACGACCAGAAGAACGATTGCTCCAAGAGTGTAAAAAGGTTGGATTAGCATGCACATCGTCAGGCAACCCAGCATTCCCAACAGAGCGGTTATCCAGTGGAAAGACTTGAAGGTTGGTCTATAAAAGTAAGGACAAAAATAGTGCTACTGAGAAAGCTATAAGTAAACACAAACAGACCAATAATATTTTGCCCAATCAACACAAAACAAAAATAATACTAGTTACGCGACATTAATGAATATTTCCCAGTAATTCTCTTCTTAAGTTCCGTTTCACAAAAATCGAGACCTATGAAAAGAAGTGAAGGAATGTAAGCTTGTCCATCGCGGATTTGGGGTCCGAGATTAAAATTGAAAAGAGAATTTACATCCATTTATGGCATAGATGAGGTCGACATCGAGATTATGAGTTGGAATGCAATTTAACTGTTGATTTTCAACCACAAGGCACCAGAACGGATATCGGTTCGGGCTGTCTGCTTAACTATGCGAACTCTTCAGTTGCCACAGTTTCAGACACCCTCCCGGTATCATGGAGCTCCATTCATGACATTTCTGATAACATGCCGCCGGACCCTCCGTTTTAGCATGCATCTTACTAGGCCTTTGTGGAAGACTCGGACACAAACAAGCCATTCGCTTGACGCCTTAAAAAGAATGTCATACAAAGGTATGAATGACCTATACGATGAAATAGAAAATTTTATCTCTTTAGGAAGGAAAACGTATACGAAGTGACATGAGATGGAGTGACGAATATGCTGCAAGGTAGAGGTCAGAACAAGGTAGTCGAAGACATTGCAGTAGTGCTCATCTAGGTGAAATAGAGCACGGTTAATACATTTCATGAAGCAAAGCCAAAAGAAGCATGAGTTTTAAAGAGCTTAAAATACCTTGAATAAGAAAACCACGAGGCTACTTTCGAACTGATAATAGAAGCGGTTATGGAGGAGCAGTCGAGAAACAGGACTGCGTGTATATTAGTCCAAACCACGCCTATTTTAGGTGGAAGATCAATGGTCCGGCATTCTTACAGACCACCGACTCAAGACGCTCACTACTTTATTTTAGACGTTTATCAGGGTAACAAAAATCAAGAGATTTCAAGCCGTTAGAACAGGCAAACGGAGTAATTCTTCCAAATTTATCTTGAACTACCATGAAAATGATTTGCATAGCAGCATACTTAACGATTTCGTGTTGGAAATAGGTGATAAAGAGGGGGCGACTGCTTTAACAAGAGTCACTTCATCAAATGCATCCTTTCACTCACCAATCCAATAGAAACAAAGATAAATAAATAAAGATAAATAGTAGGCCCGAATGCAACCCAATACCATTTTGAACTTGTTTACACACCCTACAAGCATTCATATAAACAATGAACCAGAGCTACAGCTGCTGAGGCACCAAGTATTCCATGGTGGGTACGATTGCATAAATTGCAAAATTCCCAATTTGCTTGAGTCCGCGAACGTTAACCTTCGAAATGCTTCCTAAAGAACAATTCAGGCGAAACATGCACCAAAGTTCACATGCTTTTCAATGATGTGCTTTGTTCCAGAATCGTCAAAACAGTGTAAGCTCAGTACATTGACCAGCAAGGCGTTCGACTGTTGTAGACGCAGTTAACTAGTAAACGCACAATATAAAGATCATTTAAGAAAGTCTTTTCTGAAAATGACCACGTGGGAAGGAGGTAAAATGGGAATGAATGTTGTGATTGAAGTCCACGCATATATTTTAGCCAATATGGGTGTTAATAGAAAGTACTAACTAACATTAATGCTACAACAGCGTTGGATCATTTGAAAACGTTTTTAACGTTGCCTTTAAAAACGATGAATAAGTAGATAGGTCGCCTCCTCAAAGGTAGACTCTCCTAAAAGCAAGCCACATTAAAGCGCCGATTTGATGTAATGAGTGAATAGATTTGGTAATTACAGCGGTCCAAAGCCGATGATTTACAGGGTAAATTATTATTTCTGTTGGCTGTCAAGCTTTCCATTGATATTAGACATGACAAATTAATGACCCCCACCCAGTCGATTAGAGGGACTGATGTCCGCTGCATACCATCAGACGGAATGATGATGAAGAGGCTTGCAGATTAGGCGACTGATATGGATCAAGAGATAGAAATAGACCGTCTCATTGTCGAGACTACATCCGATGGCAAAGTGTCACACAAAGAAAAATTACGCCACTTGGGGAAACTAGGCCCTGAAACCCGACAATCAATCACGGGGATTATTAACCAGAACTTTCGCCAAGTGACTGAATAAACTTGAAGCGGCTTACGGATATTGTAAAGCTTCATACGGCTTGTTAAAATGATTTCATTTTAATCACATACACCACAAAAAGCGTATTAGCAATTTGATAACTTCCCTGTCACCCTAAGCTCGTTAACGATCCTATTCATTCGGAATTTAAAGTCGTTTTACTCTTGGACATAAAAAGTGCATTGTTTTGGAAACACAAAGTAGCTAGAAAGACCTAAAAGTGGGTAAATAAAGCAGTAAAGCCAAGGTACCGAAAATTGGCCGGAGATGCAGTATCTAACAAAGCACAGGCGAGGTTGACCGAGGCATAGGCAAGGAGGAAGAAAATTGACACAGCTGGGGCAATTGCATTCATGTTACCGATGAAGAAGACGAGCTGCAAAAGAAGGGGTCAAATGAAAGCGAAACTGGATGAAATTCTCGTATATGCTTGAATAAAGACAAATATTACCCAGAGGTTAAAATTTTCTGGTATGTAGTAGGAGACTTGAAAACTAGAGGCCAACACAAAGGCCTACATTGATTAATTTTTCTTACAGATGTGACATTGACCCTTACAGAAGCGGATTGGAAACTCGAGCTTAGTGATTTAACAGAAGGCAGTCCCCGTTCCTCTTGGTAAAATTTCCGACTTCAAGACAAAATACAGAAGCCCAGACGAATAATACCCATCTGATGAATCAAATTGGGACTGACTCTATTCATTAAGGGTTCATGAGACTTAGGTCATCAATCAAGGCAGGCGAATGCCTACTAGAGCTTGCTCTTGGGAGATAAAGAAAGACCAAAACTCTTAAGAGGACGAAGTGTTTAAACCAACGACGGAAGTTTAACTTGAAAATGATCTACCTGCCATTCAATAACTGATTAGCGTACTTTGCAGACATTGAAAAATAGCATTTCACTTCAAAAATGGATTTAAGGCGAAGTACGAGTTTGGCATTGAGATATATCGCATATAACCGCGAGCAAAGTAGGTCAATAAGCTTTCCTTTATGAAAAGTGCTTTAAGTGCATATTTTCAAATGACAGCAGGTGACACTGATAGTGGTAATCGTCAACAGGCTCAACAAGCTTCCAATAAACACTGTATGAGCGTCCGAAGCCCTAACACTTCCAGCTACCGCTGAGAATGCGCAAAAAGGTTAGTAATTCAAATGCCGTTTTTCAAGAAGTAACCATCGCCGACAGGATCAGCTATGGTACCTTAATAGTGATGGTTATCACGGCCAAGCTCCTAAACTTCCAATTCACTTTCAACCTGTGAACAATTCTTTTATTTAAATAATTGACAATTCCTTTCATGGGGAGAGTTGATCTTGGAGGAGACTATATTCAACGAATAACCTCAAGATTTCCAATTCCTTCTGTTCAAACAGGCGTAAGGGTTTGTCAACAAAAAGTGAAGCCAATCTAGCATCATAAGCTACATTTAGAAAAACACCTTCCACTGCTGACTATGGGTGGAATTAGATAAAAAATACCCCACGAGCCATTGCATTCGATGTACGTGTAGATAACACTGTTGTCAGTTTACATGGCCATGTTTTTATAAATTGTTGAATTTTTTGAACGCGATAGTGGTTTTTGTTAAAAGTTTAAGGCATAGTCAGCACATAGGGCGGGGCCGCAATGAGTAACTGTCCAACGGAAAAGCACTAGAGTGAAGATAAGCAGAAGAACAATCACAAATAGGTTTCCGCACACAAAGTTCTAACTGGGAAAGGCTGTGTTTCCCATCACTAAATGTCCCGTTTTCCAAGTCAAAAATAACGAACCACCTCTCACAAGGTTTAGAGCATTCGATCCAGCTCAATTGAGTCTAAAAAAACACCCACTCATCACTCAGGTTACCTCGCCGTCAGGAATGAGGAAGCAGTGGTAAAATAGCGCTTGACCAGGAAGCTACTTTTATCTCCCGCGCTCGAGCTCCTAGCTTATGGCATGAAGCCCTAGTCATACCGCCCGTCATTGTTATCGCCGACAGTAACTTAAGGCGTAATTTGAAAAAATTCCATACTCCAATCGAAATCTAACTTAATAGTGAAACCACAGTGACGTAAAAAACAAGAAATTTGTCAAAACAAGGGTTGTTAGCATGATTTGTAATGCACCGACACACCTGAACACAGAGGTGAGTGAAAAGTACAGCCACAAGAGGATTTCCACCGGAAGTTGTGTATTTCATTGGTTTGAGAAGAACGCCTATAGGAGGAAGAAAAAAATCGCTTTACACTCATCGAACTGGGTAGTTGAAACAAAATATGATGAACAGCCCCAGCGTACCCGTGACCCCATCAACAAGTGACGGGTGGATATATTGGCCACGGCCTTTGCCTTTTACATGTCCAGAAATACAAAAGTATTATATTTAAATAAAAAAGCACTTAAATGAAGAAAATAGAGCTTCCCTGAAAGCGCCAATAACGACGAGAGCAAGCAGTTAAATGCGCTAATAAAATCCCATTTTCTTGACCCGATCAAAAGGTCACAACGCTTAAGTGGGTTGAAAATTATTACTAATTCAAGGCAATATTAGAGACCTAAGATTATTAAAAGCATACCTAGCCATAAATTTTGTGCATTCTTAGTTGGTGCAGCATTATAATCACAAAACAATCGCACGCCTATCTAAACGACGCAAGTCAAAGTAAACACAAACCCACAATCGGAGATCTAGACTAGTTTTGTAGTCATCCGTCCGCATTGGTTCATAACTGTAATGGATCCACGGCACGAGTGATTGTTTGTTTATTTTTTGAAAAAAAAAACATTAACAACTTTAAGATGATTTTTTGTGACTTGCATTGCTAGCCGCTGTCTCTCTATGATTTTATGAAAAAAACCCTTCACGGCAGGTCAAGTGACATATTAGTGGTAGGAAATTTTCGACAGTGTTTTTGACTGCCACAAGTGACAACAGGGCCTTAAGCTTAATTGATTGTATATCACAGGTAATCCAAAATGGTAACGCAAACAGAAAAGCTGGGATTACATTAATCTTTAATAATAAGGCTGGAGGATAGGTGAGATACAAAGTGGAGATACTCACATCGTAGCATGAATAATTCGACCCAGTTGGTTCCACTTAAGCAAAAAGGTTAAAGTAATATGCCTCGCCCATGGTGAGAAACTCACCACTCTTACCGGCGTATGAACCTAAGACGATAATCCTAGCAAATTATTTAGATATTACTCAAAATCTTTTGCGCATTAATGGAGAATTTTGAAAGACCTTTATGAGTACTTAATGTGACTGACTCGTGAAATGCGTCCGTTTTAAAATAACGTTAACTATCTATCTCTACTTTCAGAGGGGTTTCATGTACGGTTCGCCTCATAAAGGTAAAATAAGGAGTCTGATTGAAGTGCTTCATGCCTTCAAAATCATCGCATACTTCCGTAAGCGGTCCACCTAATAAAGGAAATGATATGATGAATTTCACTAAATTCCTTGCTCCCATGAGTTGGCCTCATTAATTATAAATACTTCAAAATACCCCACCGGAACAGCACCCGCAATAGTATTATACTAAAGCAGAACGATATTTTGGCCGCTTGCTTTACCACAAGGGCCCTCTCAGTCCCCACAACAATGCTACTAGCTTTCCAGCTCCTCTATACGGCTATAATAAAGTAGCTCGCAAACCCACAGACCTTACAAAATTTACCGAGCCAACTTAGATCCAACAGGACAGTATAGCCAGCTGTTCCTCCATTTGCGACATCAGATGCTATAGATCAAACTTACCAAAAATTTCGTCGACGGCCAGAGCTTCAAGTACACGCGAGCCGCCAATAAGGTTGCCCAGAGAAGCGGATAGCGTGGCAGCTAACACACCCATCACGGCCAAAGGCGGCCAAAAGGAAATGCTCTGCATGTAGGCATAATTTTCAACCAGAAGAGATCTAGGAGGGAGGCAGAAATGAGACCTTATAGATTATGAGCTTAGCGAGACAGAATGATATATTTGTAACTAAGCGGATCTCTCCAGCCTACCGCGATTCGGCAACTACCAGGATAGTGGCACAAAGCCGCGCATAGTTCTTCTGTACGCTTCTAAGGTCAATTTTGTGATAGAATTCCCAAGAATAAGTGGTGTAACAGTTAAACAAAGAGTGCAAAAACCTGATAGTCAAATCCCTTAGCATTTCATTCAGCAGGTCTATGTAGTCATAAATCCGCTATTCTACCATTCAAGTCACATGAAACAGTAAAGAATGACGTTAAACGAGACGTTTTAAGAAAATGCGAAATCCTATACCAATTTACTTGATTCGAGCTAATACAATGATCACAATCTATCAAGAATAGTCCATTTAAACATATGAGATTTTGAAGAATCCCAGTTCATACAAATGCCCAAAAAGAGCCATTCCTGATTTAAAACTGCTGCCATGAATGCCTCATAAGGCGTTCACAGCATTAATCGACTTAAAGTAGCACTGAATTTCATAGGTAAAAGACTGGAAAATAGCCTATTACCGTATCCAAGACCACACTTTCTATTTTCAATGTAAAACAACATCAAATATAACCACAGATCTAATGGTCTTGCATCAATTACTTTGCGTACACAAGGTAAAATGTAAAACAATACATTTCTCCATCAGTCTAGCCATTTAGAAGGAAATTCAAATGGTAGTAGGGGCCAAAATATCAAGGAAATAATCAAGGCAGGACTGTTTTAACTAACACACATTTAGCCCTTTTGATTATGTTACACATTTGGAACTGAACTGTGCTACCTTCCAGAACAATGTGCACAGAAAAATTTGGAATCTACAGAAAAACCCAGAGGTGAAGTGTTAGGAACCCAAATACTAGTTGGAGGATTTGGGAAATTTAGATAGTGATAACGAAGATTTTACAGTATATGTTTGATAATCTCTTCGATTGGCATTAAACGCATTGCTTACAACTGAAAGACAATGCCACCTAGCTTCCCAAAAGCAAGTTCGCTGCTCGATTTTACTCGGTATAATTCAAAAAAAACAAGTGAAGGCAAATTTGCCCACGAATAGATACAAAAGTGACACAAACCTTACTAATAGCTGGCTACAGATGACAAATACGAACCCGGTTTAAAAAGTTTTTAGCAGTTTTGATATCAACCAGGATGAACGGTGAGTAGACAAGAATAATTGCATAGGCCTTCCATTTAAATTCATTTTTAAAATAAATTTTCATTCGAGGGAGAGGTTTAACTCACCTGCTACACGTTGCCGCGGTTAGGACGGCCAAAATGAGGTAGACACACAATGTGGTGCTAACCGCGGTAAGAGTGCCCATCGGAATGGAAACTGACGGCCTCCTCAGTTCACCTTGAAGTTAGCAAAAAGTGCATAAAAGTCCAAGCACCATTTGCCCCATTGAAGCTAAAACGAGTCCCAACCAGGGAAGGCTTTGTAATGCTATGTTGATAACTACAAAAAGCCCGATTTCTTTGGATAGTGAATATCAGAAGTTACCTTGTTTTATCTGGTCTGAGAGTACATTTAACTCGCAAGCAGTATTGTCGATGTATTTCGGTAGCAAGAATGAGGCTAATTAACACATGGTAATATTGAGACAGTTCTTGAAAATAGAAAAATCACATTGAGGAGCTGAGTCAGAAAAAAAGGAAGAATGATAAATGAAAAGCTCTAGTTAAAGCAGATCAGTAAATTTATTCCAGCAATCCCAGGCTCACAGCACGATCGCAAGACCACTGCCTGAAGCCAAAATGTAAATACTTAACCGTAATGGTTATACACACGTAAGAAAACTATAGGCAGGGGGGTCTACCTGACATGTTAGCGCCATTCATAATGCCCGTGACACCCGAAAAGAGAACAGCAAAGAGAATGACGAAGTTCATTTGGGTTCGACTCTCGTAGTCTACTGCGTATTTGGCTGCAAAGCAGATGACATCGTATTCACATAAAATGGAAGCCCAAGGAGGAATGGAATAAGTAGGAGACTCACGGAAAAGATTCTCCTTTAAAGTGGTAGCATTAAACCCAGTGAAGGGGACCATTACGGAAGGTTGACTGGGATCACTACAATTGTAGACCAATTCATTAACCCGCGGTACGGCCACAGCGAAGGGTGGTTGAAAGAAACTCGATGCGACGAAGAGTATCACTGCAAACACAAGCTGCAAATGTAGAAATTAAATTCAACCACAATAACAGGAAAGATGTATGGGGAAGACATGCTTGTCTCCTTATGTGCTCAATATAGGGATAACGTTTTTCTTTTTCCAGGAGTAACTATAAATGGATGTAAAAGTCTAGAACTACGCAAACTTGAGACATCTAACTGAAAGTGCGAACCACGGGGTATGAAGAAGCAAGCCTAGTATTGTTCCGCAAACAAAAGATTGGCAAGTGAAACGACTGCTAGAAAGCTAAATTAGAGCAAAAAATCCGATTATGTTTTAAGTTTTGGCAAAATTGGATTTTTACTTAATTTGTGATTAAAATTTAACGAAGACCACTTCAAATCAGTGTAAACATAAACATAAGTGAAATTAGGTACATACTATAAGCATGAGGATACTGGTTCGCATGAACATGCGGCTCCCTATGATGAGAACCAGGAGGCAAAAAAGATTCACACAACTGGCGTAAAGATATTTCCACCAGAAAGTTACGCCGATTAATGTTCCACTAACGAGAACACCTAGACGGGAAGACAGTTACAAAAAAGTAATATTTATGAAGGAGCAAATAACCCGGGAAATTAAAACAAAATAGTGAAATATCGGCACATTATATTTACAGTTACACTAACCACCAGGTCCAAAATTTGCGCAGACGGCTTCAACAAAGGCAGCGATATACAGGGCGGCACAGAATACTTGAGAACAATAGAATACTGATCCAACAGCGCCACCGAACTCGGGACCCAAGACGCGACTAAGCATGTCTAAAGCTATTTAAGGAATACACTCAATTTCAGAAGCAGTGTTTCAAGAAAATCAAAAGGATACAATAAACGCCACCGCCTTCAATAGCACCATTTGTACTGATGGCACAAACGGAAAAAATGGTCAGTAGAAGGATGAGATAAGCGAGAAAAAATTGTAGTATTGTTATAAGCAACCCAGCCTGTCCTACTAGGAAGCCTACCAAAATAATAGAAGTAGGATACATTACCCAGTCGAAGAAATACTACACTGCTGAACTGAGAGAGAGTGACGAGAGTAAAGACGCCGCCAAAAGTTCCAAGAATACGCCTAGAAATACTTCTTGCCTCAGGTGGTCCCGACATATTCCATACCAACGGTAAAGTAAAAAGCATAAGAATAACTGAAAATGGACACACAGGTGTAAGTAAGCGCAATAGATACAGAAAATCAACAAACCAATCAAAATATGAAAAAGGTATCAAGCGTAAATGCGAAACAGCCCAGATTATGCAATCCACTTTCACGAACGCGTAAAACGAACGCCTAAAACATTCGTGGAAAGTCCACTCATATACACAAACCAACATTTGTAGCTTTGAGTCAAAATTTAGAATATTCTTTATAGGTAAAAAATTTACAATACACAATATTTCATCGCTTTCCATGCAATTTTTTAAATTATTCATTTACTGGCATGTCTTTTTCTATTAAATGCTGCAATTTTCTGTTTCTCAAAACATAAATCAAATATTTAATACGATAAATAGTGTTGTAGAATGACTATATTTTCTAAGGTCCCTTTCAGAGAGGAAGAGGGAATACGAAGTGAATTTTGGGAGAGAATTGGCGCCTTGCAAGCCCGAGGTCGGTTGCGAATTCTCACCCCACTGAACCTTGTACTGGTTTCCCCTTTTCAGTTCCTCTAATAAATATGCCAAAATTAAACCACTTGGCTGTTCTAAGAGTACAAGGAAGAAGGGAGAGGAGGCCTTCGAAACTCGTGCTCCGGTTTTATGTCTTAATATTCACTCTAAGCTCATCTTAACTAGAACTCCCTAGTGTTCACCCCAGAAGATTTTCCATTTTGGTTCAAATAGAATAAACCAGCTTTGTCTTTTGTCATAATTTTTCGTCATTTATATAACCCGATTGTTACCGTGCAGCTTTCGAGTTTCAAGGTCATCTGAGTCGCTCAATCCATGATGGGGATGATGCCGATTTGTTGCGTGCTTTTCATATTAGTTTAAATAATGTAGGCACCTGAGAGCATGTTTTAAAGTAGATATGAAATTTTAACACCACAAATTACTATGTCTTTATAGCTGAAGTGTTCTCGCATCTGATAACACTGAACATAATTTACCTCAATTTGGGAAGTTTTTGTCTCCTCTTTAGTATAAGGTGGCGTTTAAAGAAATTAGAAGGCTGGTCTGTATTTTTTCCAAATCATTTCACACGTGTATCCAGTCTATTAGTTCCTGACACCCACCTATTGTCCTTAAAGGTGGTCTCATTTCTGCATCGATTTCTGCTGATTAAATGTTGATCCTTTCAGCCTATGCAATCCCTTTTCGGCTTCGCCTAAATGACGCTTCCCGACTACATTTCTCGTCTAGCTGTCAGTTCCGTCCTTCATCAGAACACTCGGCTCCACGGCAAGGCTTTTCTTTTCGATGGGAATCCCGAGACTTGCTGGCAGTCGGACCCAGGTGCAAGTCAATGGATCCTTATGGAATTTAAGGAGTCTCTCAGGATCACCTCTATTCGAATTCAATTCCAAGGCGGCTTCGCCGCCGAGGAGGCCCTTCTTCGTTTGTGGACGAAGGAGACGAAAGATAATGCATCATCCTACCCATTTCATCCCACCAATACCAATAGCCTTCAGTCATTCGATTTCATCGATGCCAACGCCTGCACGAGCGCTGCTATCATCTTCAAAAAAGCCACCGATCTTTTCGGACGCATCATCGTCTATCAACTTGACTTGTCCTTTGCTTGAATACTATAACATTTTTTCACTTTTTTCTCATGCTTGAAAGAGGAACTAGTGTTAGCTTTTTGTTGTATTGAAAGAAAAGTGGTGTGAATGAGCAATTTAAGAAAAAAAATTGTGGCTTAATATGATCCGTTTGAGCGTCAGAAATAAGAGGTTAGTATGAACTCGAAAAGATTGGGCAGTCGGATCGTGATCGCGAAGTCCAGCCTTCTACCCATTTGGGTCCTGGAAGGGAGGATATATTTTTAGCAGATAGTGATGCAGTTCATGGGGAAGTGTAATTAGAAAATATTAAGGGGGGAACTTTGAGGGCTCGGTTCTCCTTTTGGGGATCCATTGAACAAAATTATACCCCCAAATAGAGGTAGAACCGGTGCATATACAGTGAGTGATTGAATTTTACGGATACTCAGCTGATTGTAACCAATCCAGTATGGATTACACTTATTTAAATAAGGAATTCTGCTATTCGCTTACCTTTAGCGGTGGACTATACACAGATTTTACATGACAACCATTCGGATTACTCCTCTCGAAGCAACTCGTCAGTTCGGCAACGCTTTTACGGTTATCATGCTCCAAAGCCACAATATCAGTCAATTGCGGATCTTAAACAAAATGTAAAGAATCATTCCTTACAGGTCTGGAAAGGGTAAATTCTTCCAGCTATTCAAATGCCTTACCAATTCTGAGGGTCTACTGAAATTGCAACACCAGGACAGCTGGTTTCAGGTCACGTTGCTACTTTGTTACGCGTTTTCAGAATTAACAGCCGATTTACTGATAATTTAGTAGGGCAACCATTCAAACCAAGTTATCGAAAGAAGTGCTTCATTAAATAATGACCCAACTTCGTAATACGTCAAATACTTGACCATTACCTGGATAGGGGACTTAACATTACTTTTATTGTCCATCCTATCCAATCCAAGGCATGCATTCTCCACCATCTGTTTGTCCCATCTGTACATACAAAGGAATCAAGGGCTTGGAGGATATTTCTTCCTTATGCCGGGCTCCAACATCATCAGTTCAAAACATGCTTAACTAAAAAGAAGGCTGGATGGTTTCTAGGGCCTCATTTGCTTGCGATAAAGCACCAAACACCAGAGCTGGTCCAGGGAAGGAATGCAGGCATCGGAAAATAATCATTCGTATTTAACTTAAAAAGGTTTTATGCGATTGATGTGAGGGAAAGTTCAACTATTATTTGACCAAGCCTTCACGCCCTTACTCCTAAGATGGAATAAATACAATGGCGTCATTTGTTAATAAAAATTAAACTAAGTTAAGGGCAATTTTGAGAACATTATACCGTTTTGAATAGACCCATCCAACAAGCAAAGAGAAGAAGCGCGGCCTCTTCAATTATGCTGGCTCAAGTCAAGTCAATTATTCTTTCACATAAGTGACATTTGCAATGAGTGCTAGAAGATAGGGTCTAATTCGAGCCTAAAAATATCCAGGACCACTTGCAAGGCTCACTTGCACGCATCCACACCCCAATCCTCGAGAGCAATGCATTAAGCATTCTCACTCACATTGCACACTTCAGAGAGATGACGAAAACGATTAAAAGTTCTCGAGCACACTGTCAGCTTCTAGGCAACTTACTTGTCTTCTCTTTGGCAAGGGAAGAGTTGTAAAGTCCTACGACAACCACTTCTCGTCTTACAATTATGTTTGAAGCATGGTGGTGGAGGGGGGTGTCTCTCACCTCGAAATCGAAGGAATTTTGAGGTTGTAAATACAAGGCTATCTAACCAGTGATTTGGTCTGACAACATTCCTTAACTGGTTCAAATTTCGTCAAGAAGAATGCAGTATTAAGCCACCACTTTGCAATGGAGAATGTTATTATTGGAGAATTTGGTGTTAAAAGTCCAGTAATCATCCAAAAATACTTTAGAACTGGGAATTTTCCTTCACCTTTCAGGTCAGCATAAACAGAGGACACCACACCTTTTCGTTATATATTATATTGTTTAGAACCTTCCCATTTCTCATTATTCAACTATCGTGGTAGTAGCATGATTCGTTAACCATATCAGTGCTACTATTATTTTCCCGATTCCGTTATTCTGTTTTGTTGAAGCTACATCCCGACTAGTAAGCACCATGACACCTTTAGGGAAAACCAAAAAGTTGCATCCTCAGAGTTATGGAGATAAAGAAATGAAAGTAAAAGCGATAAATCCAATAAAAACCTACATTTTATAGCAGGTTTGGGTGCTTTCTGCAATGTGGCTTCCTTTTGCTTATTGTGTCTCATGGTAACGCCATCCTTTTTGTCTGAAACCCCAGGTTTTACTGAAGGAGATTGTGAAAACATCTTCGTCGGCAATGGCGGTCCAACATCACCCTCGGGTGGGCTACTGTAAAGAGAAAAAATAGACCAAATAAGCTCAACGAATTCATCGTCAGCTTGTCGATAATTCCAATTTCATTAGCTAAACCCTCTGCAAAGGTGTAGAAGAATGAAAACAACTGTAGAGCTTCGAAACAAAAGGTCTTTTAGGACCATATCACACTTCGACAGCAAACCTCATCTCACGTTTTGTGCTATGGTTAGTAATGGAACAAGAATGAAATTCAACGCTAACACCGTTGCTTAGCATCTAGATCAAGTGTGTCTGGACTGGATCAGTAACACTGGACCACAGTAACTATTTACTATTGCATACATAGATCCGGTCAGTAGCATGAATTTGAGGCACACCCGTAAAGTCCGAAGTTTCTATCTGGCTTGGACGTGTTTCGATTCAGTGCTCCAATGAAAACTAGACAGGAGGAGGATCTGACGGGTGGACACGGTGAACACGTCCGGTGAAATTACAAGTTATCTTACTGTGACAGAAAAGCCCTGCATGATTGTGATTTCAAACAGTTACGTCACTCTGGTAAATCAACACTTAATCAACGGAATAAAACTTTTTGGGAGTAATAGCCAACTTTTAATAAGCATAACGAAGGAACTCACTCTGCTGATTGGTTCTCACCCTCCTTTGGGGATAAATTTGAAGTTGGGAAAAGATCGGCAGTGTCAACGGGTCCATGTACAACCTCGGAAGCCGATGTGTGAATGATCGTAGTGGCCATGTGATTTTTTTTACGTACAGGACGAGCATGAGAAAGTGGCGCTAGAAATCCACTCGACGACTGATCTGGAGTAAAGATAATACTCTGTAAAGCATCATCATGTCATGCATTACACTAAAACCACAAGTCGAGAAAGGAGAAAGTTATGCTCACTGCTCATGCTTTTCCACAAAGTTGGATAACAGACAACCTTTCTTCTTCAAAGAAATTAACACACGAGTTTCGCTTATACTTTCACCTCAGTGTCAATTCTATGCTTACGCTACGATGAAAGGGTGGTCAACTTGTCATGCGGAAGTTGACATATGACACGCTGAAACAACAATTTGCTGCTCCTCCTCCACTAGCCTTCACCATTTCGGACAACGAAGTAGAGAGCAGAGTAGAACCAGAACAGACCAACTTACCATCAACTGGGTTTAATTTATTAGCGGGCGATCCAGAAGTCGCATTCATGGGTAGATCTAAAATGCAAAGAATTACACCATATCCCCTGCGACTAAAGGTGGTTCTGTTTCGTTTCAAGCTTCACTCCTCCATGGCATATAAAATGCGTTGAGGCGAAAATGTCTAAGTACCTGCTGAATCAGCATCTAAAGTCGGTGAAACACAAACGACTTGTTTAGACGACAGTCCACGATTCCTCAGTGTGATTTACACACCGCAAGTGTCAAGATACAACAGATGAATAGCCGCATTAATCATGCAGTTGCCTCATTTCTTCGTCGGGTGTTTTGCACTCACACCACAAAAGCTTGCATTTTAAATTACGAGAGCCAACCTATTCCAATACTCTATCGCCTCGCAACACCTCCGAAGCGAAGTCTCGATTCTGAAGACGACGCACCACACGAGTTTCGCTTATACCTTCACCTCAGCGTCACTCCTATGCCTATGCTACGATGAAAGGGTGGTCGACTTATCATACGGAAGTAGATATATGACACGCTACAATAACAAATTACTGCTCCTCCTCCACTAGCCTTCACAAATCTGGACAACGAAATAGAAGCAGAGTAGGATCAGAGCAGACGAACTTACCATCAGCTGGTTTTGATTTATTAACAGGCGATCCAGAAGGCACATCCAAGGGTAGATCTAAAATGTAAAGCATTACATCACATCCCCCGTGAAAAAAAGTAGTTCTGTTAATTTTCAGGCTTCACTCCTTCACGGGTTATGAAAATGCGATGTGATGGAAATGTTTAAGTACCTGCGGAATCAGCATGTGAAGTAGGTGAAACATAAACGACAGTCCACGATTCCTCAATGTGATTCACACACCACAAGTGGCAAGATACATCCGATGAATAGCCGCATTAAGCATACCGGTGCCTCATTTCTTCGTCGGGTGTTTTGCACTCACTCCACAAAAGTTTGCATTTTAAATTACGAGAATCCACCTATTTTAATAATCTATCTCCTCGCATCTCTTCTGAGACGACACATCGAATTTAGGTCGTGCACAGGCTACATATTGAAGACCCGAAGTACTAATGAATAACCTCAAGTATAACAATCTGCACTACCCAATCACAAATGCAGATAGGACACTATCTAAAACTATGAGGCAGTTTTAGCACAACAAAGTCAATGAAGTGCTACTGAATGAAGTGCAACAGAGTGGGGACGGAACGGGGAAGAGTGAGCGCGAAGTTTGACGGAATGGACGTGATTAAAAGCATCAGCGGAAGAAGGCTCATGGGGCGTTACTTCTCATCGTCCCATTCCTATTTGCTCAGATGCAACAAAAGCGATCATTATCGAAAAAATCAGCGAAAAGCTAGCGCTGAATTGGAAAGCAGGCAATTGGTTTAACGGTTAAAAAACGGGGAAGGCTCATAGATCCGTCCGCCTCGAGCAACCCGTTTCCAATTGCTCACAGGCGATGCAAGCGTATGTCGTTGAACGCAGTCCATTTGCACGAACTAACCTTTTATGGGCGCCCATGACGTTGAATAGAATCCTTTCTTGCTTTGTGGTGGTACTGAATTCATACCTTCATCCAAATTAACATCACTCATGAATACATCGCCTTGTCTCCCCGAAACGCTCTCCTAATAACTTCTTCAGGGAAGCATTTATCGAAGCTCATCAATATACCAATAATTGTACGAGAGTTAAAAGCACGTATTCCCTTCAGTTAGTATAAAAAATCCCTTTCACTATCTCCTTCTAGAATAGGTTGATTTAAAACTAGCTTAACATGATATGGTAGTATTGCTATTAGCAATAATATAGAGTGTTCACAAGCCACTCACTCTTAAAAGCCTTGGGATTCAAGTATAGAGCTGTCGGAGGTGGGGACGATTGAAAAGGAAGGCAATAGGGTATCAGAAAGTGATTGAGGATGAAACGCAAATATGTATGTTACTATACATATGTATGAAACGAAATTACCATTTTCTGCATTACATTCATCTAAAATAAGCAAAGGGAAAGGTAAAATTTAGAAATTATTTTATTTCAGTTCATTCAGTACACTTAATGCCCTTAGGCGTGGGTGTTTAGTAGGAACCCTCCGTCATGCATGCCTCATGGTGAATTAGTTACGGACAATGATGGCGAATCACACCATTCCTAAGTTGGGACGACGTTTTTTCTGTCAAAACGGAATAGAATATTTATTTACTATGCACTATTCAATTACTAACCAGTTACTGCCACGGTATGAGACCTCACGGGACAATTTATCTGAAAAAGGAGCAGAATGAAATAAAAGCGTTTTTTATTCACTATGGACACGAATTCCTTTCAAGCATCCATCTTACCAGAGCGCTATTCGCCCAAAAAAGCAATTTCATTTCTCAAACCGACTAAGAAGGGAAAATTTGTCAATCGCAATGCTTTGCATGCGTCAGTAGATAGGGTGGGCCTGCCATTTACCGGCCCCTTTGTTTTACGATTTTGTTGAATCGAAAATGTGCAACCTTTTCCAACGTACAGCTGAATTTTTTAACACCTCTGTAGCTCTTCAGGTGTCCCTAGCCTCTAATGTGTCCATGACGTAAATGTGAGAATACCTCCCACTGAAACGTGGTACATACTGACTGTCTTACGAATTATAGCAGCATTATTTTGGCTGGCTAGGGTGTAGGCATTTTAGCTGTAAACCGGCATGGTAAGTCAGTGGAATGCCTTGAAAAGTCCCACCCTTAAAAACGACCCCGTCATGCGAGAGGTCTGCGCTAAGATCACGGTGATAGATGTTGAGGAAAAAGTAGGTACATAGCCTGATTTCATCCTCTTCTGCAAGCCCACATTCCAAGCTACTCATTCTTCAAGGTAGCAAGATTATAGCCATTGAGAGGTCAGACGCATTCTGTCCTACAAGTCCGATTTTGCCTACTTCGAAATAAAGTGTGTGTCATGCATCTGACTTCAAGTAATGGAAACACTTACGTATTCTTGATTTCTAGTATCAACTGATCTTAAGGGTTTCAAATCAACTCGTTCGGGAAAACCATCGAGACACTTTTCAATGTCATCCTTCAGGCCAGTCGTCACTTTGCACAGCATCTGTTCTGCAATTTTTACATTCGCATCCAAAAACTAGAAGGAAATCGTAGTAGAGGATGGGAGAAAACGTCACAACAGTGAATTTTTAATAATTTACTACCATTGATCGAACGGAATTTTCAACTTGTTGATTGAGCAACCAAGATATGGGTTCCAGAGAGTTCTCTGTGATTTGTGCAGGAGAGAATTTCGCGACTGATGCAAACGACTGCAGGGATTTGTTGTTCACGACATCCTTCAGACGCTGACAACTTTTTTCATGGAAGGCTTGCAGGGACTTCTAAAAGGGTAAAAAGAAGTTAATAGAGGATACGACTACCGTAATATGAAGTATTGCAACTTCTGTCTCTATTTTTAGTCCTTCGGTTCAAGTGATAAAGTATGATTGCGTGAACTGATTAAACAATTATTCACAGAAAAAAAAATAAAAAGGATCTGCCTGGGGAAAGGATACCTTAAGTACAGCTCTGATATCCCCCATCACCTGTTCAACCGCATGATTACACGCCTCGGGATCCAGAGCAGCATCCAAGAGGTCGACGTGCATCGAAGGTAGTTTGGAGCACTCTTGAAGGGCTATTTTGGCCTGATGAATCTTGGGGTAATGGGGTTCCAGTTGCTCCACATTGCTCGTAGGCATTTTTCGTTGGAGTTCAATAGCTAAGTGCGTTAGTTCCTACAAGTAGGTGAACTATTTGAACACAGAAGTAGAAACCCTATGACGCAGCTCGCTGATAGAGAAAAGAGGTCTGTCCAGAAGATGTACAATGATATGAAAAACTTTAAAAGCTCGGCCTAGTCCATTATGTGCAGGAAAAGGTGGTAGCATAAATGATTCATTTTCCTAGTTAAAAGAGACATTAAAGCACACTGCTAAGTAGGCTTTGAACACATCCAAGACGATAGAGCCAGGCTTACAAGGTCGGCATCGCACAGTTCTGGTGATGGTGTTATGATAGCATCGCTGAATTTGTCTAGCTCCAGAAGGCCTTTTACATCGACATCCGACTGAAAAATAGAGAAATTCATTAGTGAATTTTGCATGAAGTGTGTAGAACGACAGGATGCCCTATAGACCAAGCAGAGATTTAATTAAACTCTCAAAAGACCCATTCCTGATGATCTTTTTCTAGTTGCCTATTCATAAATTTGATAAATTTTGAAAAATGAAATGCTTCTAACTGAAAACAGTATTTTGTACCTGCTGTAGAACGATGACAGGCTTGTTACATTGATTAATCAAGAACCGCTTGCGCTTTGCCAAGCCCCCTAGAGCTGTCCAGGTCTACGGTGAAGAACATGATTTTTCATTTAAAAAGAAAAAGATTTGCTGGAAAAAAATAATAAATCACAAAGTTTTTCTCCTTTTTTAACTTTCTGTAATGCAACGGAGAATATGATTGTTGAAGTTTTATGCAGGATTGAAAGGTAATGCAGACGTGGACTGATTTTGGAGTTTTATAATAAAGAGAGATTTAAAACAAATTAGGCGGAATACTCGACACAAAAATATGGGCAGAAAGAATTACGTTCATTTACTCTGATTGCCAAAAGAGGGGGTCACGTAAAAGTCTGGTCTATTTAGTGTTAAATTGCGTTCATCGTCCTCCAAATGCACAAGGCTAAGAGGAGGTCACGTGGGCGGACAATGACTAATGGCGGAGCGCTCGTACTTCCGCTGGGGGGCAATGGCCCCTAGGCTATACCAGTAGCACTCAACTCTTCTCTACGTCGACAATGCATATTCTACCTTCTTTCTTCTTGAGGCAAATCTCGGGGCGCTACATCGGTGGCAGCGGAGAGCAAACCTAAATGCCAAACATTAACGTAATAGAAGAAGGGCATATGCTGCGGGTAGGGGATTCATGACGACGCCTAATGCTACCCTTGAACCATCTGAAAAAGTTCGTTGCAGAGCTGTATACGGTACCTGTTTAAAGATGTCAATTAAGTGAGCAAGCTGGGTGGGATCCAAGTAGATACGTGGCTGGGCAATGCTGAAGTGAGAACAAAGTGGCAAGAAGAAACAGATGCAGTCTTATTTCCACAGAGCTATTTTAAACGCTGGCCTTCATTAAATAACTTTGCATTTAGATCAGTGTTCTTACGACCAGCAGTGGATATATGAGATGGACAGCACATTCCTCCTTCCCCCATTACAATTCCTAAACAGGATGAAACTTCAAATCCAGTGAAATTTCTAAGAGCGATCAGTGACGTTGCGGTCAGATATCTTCTCAGTTGCATGTAAATTCGATGACTGGCACAGCTGCTTCGTGGCTGTTTTCTTACACCACCGACTGCGTTGTGATGGCCAACACTGGACGTCGACCAAGTGGAGCGCCGAGGACGACGCTCGAAAGGAGAGGGGGGAAATGAACTACTTTGATTATTCGCTTAACTCTTTTTTTGTTTTTGATGACACTTAAGGATATGCAATTGTACCACTGCCAGACAGCATGGTCGCTTGACCATAAAAGTAGTCTCCAACCCTTCCCTACGTCGACAATGCATATTCCGCCCAAGTATTGCATCTTCTTTCGTCTTCCGAGAAGTCTCACGGCACTATGGAATACATTAGTTGTAGCTGCAATCTCTCGAGGTGAGTATGAAAACATCATGAAATATTTATAAAAGCTGCTATTTCGAGCAAGATGTAGCCGACATCGTTGAAGTGTACAAGAAGATATTGACATCATTGTTTGCAACACGGACATAAAGCACAATGAAACGGCATCCAGTGGCAGCTTGACTCGTGACATGAAAGGTAGAAGGTAAGAACGTGATAAACTAAAAATGAGTACCATTACTTAAAAAGGTAAACAAAAGGTGAAAGCGAGGAAGTAAGAGGGTATTCTTGAGAAATTGAATCTCAATTTATTTGTGAGAAATCCCTGCTATTGTGCCATGAGGTTAGCTTTATTTTTGAATAATAGCACGAAGGGTTACTCACATCATCGCTGAAAAAGGAGGCGTTGAATGTGAGAGTGAGGGGAGTCTTAGGGTCGTGGTATTGGATCAGCTCCAAGATGCACCTCGAGTCCTCGTCTTTAAGTGTATACTCCGAGATATCAAGGTAGGCCAATTTCTTGCCAAGATTTGCGAGAGATTTCAGGAACTCGCACATCTCCTCGTTACTCCCCAGTGGGTGCAAGGTTATTTTAGCCACTTTCTAGAGGTGGAGTTATAAAGAAAGCCAAAAATACTTATTTTGCGACTGACAACGTCAACAAGTCTTTCGTTCATCATAGTTTCTACGTGGTAGCTCTTGTAGCAGGTGTATATGCTACTACGGGGATCACTTCAGTCTATCACGTAATTGGAAGAAGGATGCAGTAAAATTAGTAGCCCATTATAAAGGTAGGGTCAAGACGAAAGAGTAGGAGTATATCAGATGCCACAGACCACAGTATATCGTCTTTACAGGAATGTTAGATGATTCTACAAAGTTTCCAACATTTGAGTGGAATGCAGGAGTACAATTATCCAACTTGATGTGCCTTTTAGGCATAAAATAAAATTGACGAAGAAATGCTGCCAGACCAAATCACTGGTTAGATAGCCTTGTATTTACAACCTCAAAATTCCTTCGATTTCGAGGTGAGAGACACCCCCCTCCACCACCATGCTTCAAACATAATTGTAAGACGAGAAGTGGTTGTCGTAGGACTTTACAACTCTTCCCTTGCCAAAGAGAAGACAAGTAAGTTGCCTAGAAGCTGACAGTGTGCTCGAGAACTTTTAATCGTTTTCGTCATCTCTCTGAAGTGTGCAATGTGAGTGAGAATGCTTAATGCATTGCTCTCGAGGATTGGGGTGTGGATGCGTGCAAGTGAGCCTTGCAAGTGGTCCTGGATATTTTTAGGCTCGAATTAGACCCTATCTTCTAGCACTCATTGCAAATGTCACTTATGTGAAAGAATAATTGACTTGACTTGAACCAGCATAATTGAAGAGACGGCACCATTGCGGAGGATGCTCCGCTTCTTCATTTTTGCTTGTTAGATGGGCCTATTTAAAATCAGCTCTACAGAAGTCATGAAAATGTAACAGGGTTATAAAGTAATGAAAGCCATTTCGGAAGCATTAAGATTTATCTTTAACGCCGGTAGTGCGTATATTAGTTGCCAGTAAAAGATCACAGAGAACAGATTTAAGGACGGTTTCTCCAACCTACTTTGACTAATTTAGCCTAAAGCGATAAAATCCGTCAAACTCACACATTCAGAAAGCGAAAGTGCCTCTGTCAGTTTCTTTAAGAAACCCGATCCGCTAGAAAAGTGAAATGAAAAGAGTATACTAGTATAAAATTAGTAAAGCTATGGAGATTAAATGCTTGAAATAGATAAGTTAAGACTCATTTGCTTGTAACAAATATCCAATTGCCGACATCTCTTCGGTGTTTCAATGAAATGCGGCCTCATTCAATTAAATTATGGTCCTTACATCATAACACTATCCTTGATAGCATTAAACTACTAATGCACATTTACTACCTAGAGGACCACATCAATGGTGTTGTCATCGCTTGTGCGACCTTCCTCTGGGTTGCACAAGTGACATTTAAGCCGTAGCACTGCCAGTCCATAGTTAAAAACTAACTCGGCGATCAGTTTTAGTGAGTCAAGGCAATTGGAGCTGCCTAATAGGATAGGGATGGACGCAATCCTTTTTGAATATAGCTTGCGAGGAGTTGGACGGCTATGAAAGCTATCCAATTTTTGTTTAACCCTCAGTTGATGTACCCTTGTCTCATTTGCTTAGCAAAGAATTACTATAGATGAATGTGGTACAGATTCTACACATGCCGGATAGGTGTAATCAAACAACAGGGTCAAGCGTACTTAGGCTTCCCTTTATTGCCCAAAGTGACATGCTGAAGACGTGGACATTTAGGCAGGCATTGGATGATATCAACAACTTTATCCTTGAAGGCTAGAAGAAAGAAAAAAATAATGAGCAAGTAGACTTAGCTCAAAACACCCATGCGGAATTCTTTGTGCATAAAAAACACCCGTCATCAATCAGTTAGATTGGCAAAGCCTCAAGAAGAGCTGGTAAAAATTGAAGTACTGCAATACATGGTTGCTTGAATGTCAATACGATCCTTCTGATGGAACGGCTGTTGTCAAGCCCCGAGGAGTAGATATTCCCTAAACACGCTTAATCATGATATTTGTATCCCTGTATTTACCCCCACCCTTTAAAGCATGTCCTCATCCACTTCGTCAACGCATTTCAAGGGTATCAGGGCAGAGGTGGAAGAAACACAAAGCCTATTGCAGCATTATACTGAGCACAGAAAGGCAGGCACTCAAGGGCATTTCATTTTGCTGCACTCGATTCAATTAATCAAAATACAGCACACCGACAGCTCGCCTCTTCGCTTAGATGTGTCTAGCTTGGCACCAGCACACAGGCTTCAACTCTGGTGCATGTGATAGATGCAAATATGCAGAGAGAATGGGCACAAAAGCGGTGTGTATTCGTAACTTGAGTACTTTTCTTTCTCCAAATTGTGTTAAATAAAAATGAACACCAAAGGCAAGCGTTGGGGTGCCTGAAGTACTCGTAAGCGTTTCCCCAATTTACCGCTAACAAATCACTAGCATCACGAAATTGAAATTGCAAGCTTAGGCAAAGCAAGCACAAGATATATGACTTAGCTAGGAAAAATAAACTTTTTTTTCAGTTTGATAGTTAATACATGAAAAATAGTAACGCAGTTGATGTTAGACAAAGCGATAGTGATACTACTTTAATGCAGGTCTCTAAGCTTCTTCTATCACTTTTGAGGTAAACTTTGAAATGAAAAGTGACGCACAAACTTCGCTGATCTTCTGTACTGAGAGAGGGAATCAACAATCATGTATAACTGAAGAGAATCACCATTTTCGGTAAGGGAGATTTTCGTAAGGTGCGCTACTTTCGGTATGTATTGTGCAATTAGTTCGGCCACCTTGGCATCCAGTTTGCATTCGCTTAAGTCCAAATCCAGTTGATTGTAGACGGGATTTTTGACGTGGCAGAGACCGCTGAAGATCAACTACAAAGTAGGGAGGTCACAGGTCACGTTTCAGTGCTTCCTCGAGCAAGTGCTGAGCGTGCTTAGACTGGGAGGACCAAGTTGTGCTGCTACGGTGAGGGAAACTTGACCGACATTGAATGATTTATTTGCAATACTATCAGTAAGCATTGTTATGGCAACAAACGTAGAAGTGATTGACCATTAAGCAGTTTTGTTTGTACTTATAAACAGGTAGGGCTTGCAAATTCAAACAAGCCTTACATCTCTCCCTTTATAGCCATCATTAATTCAGACTTAGGTTTCCTTTGCCTGTTTTTTACAGCAAAATATTATTGTTTTAGAACAACTTCATTATGAAAATCTCTAGTTATCTACACCCAATCCAATCATCGGCATAACAGGTCCTTGACTTGGCAACCAAAATGAGTGGCACGAATGAAGGCCACGAGGTAGTGAAGCAAAGTGGTGTCTTTGTTAATACATTCACAATTGTATGTTTCAGTTGGTGAGTCTTGGAATAATTTATGAAAGTACAGTACCACTTTACCCATTAGCAAATTGAAGGAGGTTGATTGCTGAGGTAACTCGACACATCTTCTGCAGGCGAAGCATGGCTACGCACTTCATGAGCAACATTTAATTTCAAATTTTTTTTGTGCATGAGGAGACTTTGTGGAACAGAAATTCACCCTCCGTATGAGATTTGCATAAAGACAGCATTTTTTGGTTACCATGACTGGGGAAAAAGTACTCCCATGAAAACTTCAAAAATCATTTAAAATTTCTACGGAACGTAAATTCCTTTGTTCTTATCCGAATCAAATTCTAGGGAAAATATAACTTACTTGTAAGTTTGAGAAATGGAGTGGATTAAGTAGATGACTCACAACTGATGGTGTCATTAATCATATTCAGGTACGTATAGCTGTCATATGCCGTGTTAGATACGTTCACGATTTAACTGCTCATAATTTCAGGGATTTTATCAACGCAGGAGGCGTAAACAAATTCCATAAAAAAGTCAAGATGTGATAAAAATGTTATAACTCCGGTCATGAATGACCCTTTTTTGGTGAAAAATGCTTTATAGAGAACTCGTTTTAAGGTCAGAAGGGAGATAATGAACACTAAAGAGGAAATCGTAAAGTGTGGGGAATTTGACTGGTGTTCCTTTATGGACGGCTCTCAAGGTATTATTTCTTTTAATATGTTTGAAGTTAATTACAGCCACCCATACAAGCAAAATTTTTTGAAAATTTTTAAATATCTTGCCAATTAAGTAGTCAGATAGAGAGCAAAGTGACAATGATTGAAGGTGTTGTCAAAAGTAAATTTGGCTCCAGAGTTTGAGATCCCAATGTGGGTTTAAGGTGAGGTGGAATTTTTCTCAAAGTTTTATAATGATTGTTTGCGTGTGTAAGGAGGATATGCTGAGAATCATGAGGAGTTTGCAAAAGGAACCGGTCGTAAGTGTAGTCGAGAAAGTAAAATGCAAAACTTTGTTCCCTAAAATTTGACGACTAAAATCAAATAATTTTTCACTAATTCTGCGCAAGTTGTGCTTGAAATTCGACACAAATATCATAAGAACTAATCTTAGAAAGTCAATTACTCAAAGATTTTGCCTCTAAGAGATGACTGAGTCCCATCTGTTCTCACTGCACCAATTAAACACGACAAATTTTTTACCTTCAACACGTCGTAGGCAGCTTTGCCGGAGGTTCCCCTCAAAGAGAGCACTTGTAGAAATCGTAAGGAGGTAAAGTAGTTCTGTACAACTGTTTCGGACCTGACGAACTTGCTTTCAGCCAGACTCAAAACTTCCAGTCGTGCGCAATCCGAAGAATCCAATGCGGAGCAAATCTTAGAAAGAGAAATGACAATTTTACACGCCTCAATCATCTGCGAAGAGTAATTTACATCGTATTAATAGCTAGACGTGGCAATAGTGACACACCGAACGGCATAAAATCAACAAGACGTTTTAGCAAACAGTTTCTGCCAATTTTGGATAAATAATAGGAACTTACCTCGGAAATACCTAGGTCACACCGATCCAAAATGAGTACACGAAGTTCGGGCGCCAGTAAAGTAAGTTCTTGCAGTGCCTTAAAGTCAAAAAATGTTCAGTATTACAATCGCACCACGTGAGTTAGAATCGCAAATAAATAAAATCTATTGCATTTTTGAAGCAGTTGTTAGCCTTAATGAGAAAAGTTAAACGTGGACTGAAAAACAAAAGGACACACGGGGAATTACCGGCGAACGAATGCAAGTACCGGACAAAACGATTCGCCGCAGTGGGAGTTTTTCAGAAGATTTTGGTTTGATGTGTGCAATTGTCCTCATAAATGTACCATCGTCGATTTTTTTGGTACCAATACGAAGATCAACTAACTGCTGGTAGATTTTCGGCTTCAAATCTTCAAAAACCTTTGAAAACAAGGGTTCTTTGGAAGTTACATCCAATTTTCGTAGTTTAAAACTATTGGGTAGGCTTCGTAGAAGACACCTAAGTTCGTCACTGTAAAATAGCAGAAGGAAACTCGTGTTTTTAAAAAAAAGCTGGAAATGAGGTTAAAAGGATTGCACAATTGACGACCCCAAAGTAACAGTAACAATTTGGAAGTAGAAATCTCCCAGTTATTTGCACTGGTTAAATAAGATAAATTACTGCTTCTATTAAATGGAATTAAAGGTTGTCAATACCTGTCAATTTGCGAATCCCGAAAAATTATTGATCTGAGTGCTTTGTTGGTTCGGAGTCCGATTGAACAAAGATGAATGAAATCTTCATCCTAGACACATTTCAAAAAATGCATAAAATATATATAACGTCTTTTAAAAACAACGTTAGTCAGAAAATAGATCTACTTTTGCTGCTGGCTGTTTTGTTGGAGTAGTCAAGTAAAACAAACAAAATCCTTATTTTTAGTACAAGATCTAGCCTATATTATTGGAAAATCGCAATAGATATCAAACTTTACCCACCATCTTTACGTAGCCTAAATCAAAAACAGTAAAAAAAGACGGCGTAAGAAGTGGACAGATTGCGAAATTAGGCATATTGTACGGAAAATAGGGAACAACATCAGGGAATCTCAAATATTTGCGTTCATTACATCCAAGCAGCTCTATAATCTAAAAAATAAGGTCGTTATCAGGTATACCTCGTTATTATCACATTTTTCTCCAAACCGTTTGTGCACGTAAGAAAAACCTTGCTTAACTGCCTCACAGACATTTGGAATTCTACACGCATTTTCAAAAGTAGGCAGTTTAAGCTCATCGTTGCCATCGACGTGAATTGCTTCACCACTATAAATTCGGAAAAATATTATCTTGTTCTTACCAAAAATTATAAGACGGAAAATACTTCTTCCACACATTCAAAATACTTTTTACGATGCTAATAGGTTCTGATCGTGTCCGTGTGTCGAGTGGCACGGTGAGAGTAACTGTTGAACCATCCAAGATGTTCAATACCAACTAAAACGTAAGTTCCGAAATCGACAAAACTTGTGTCGAAGATTGGTATATGCTCAAAACGTCCAGCGCATTAATGGATTTTTTAAACTTCGAAGACCTTAAAATAATACCTCCACCCTCCACAGACTCCTAAAATTCAACCTAAGAAAGTAGATGTACAAGTTGGCATGTTTGCGGAGACTCTTTTTTGTCCTTCAGTAAGGAACAAGAAAGGTACTTTGAGCTTTCGTTCCGAAAATGCCGTACCATCCTGGCACAGACTAACGAATTACCAGTGAAGGGTTTTAGACTGCTCACCAAGGTCACGTCAGAGGTAAAATAGTAAGCGGTATAAAACATCCATGTAAATTAAAAAAATATTGCTATAGACAGTAGTTTTTAGTAATTAGGCTTCCTAAATGTCTCCTACAAATGCAGAATCACACGTTCGTTTGATCCACTTGTTCGATTGTAAGGTAAGACACATAGTGCAGATTAATTTTGATTTCAAAAAAACAATGAACAGTGTCAACTCCAAAACTAAATATAAGGTTGTGCTTAATGTGTTTTACGCTGGGGATGTGAGATTTGATGTTAAACAGTGAAGTTATTAGTACTTTTGCATTTAAAACATTTGGCCACTGGTGATGTGCATTACTAAAAGATAAACAAGTGTATTGCAATACGATAGTGGTTTATCCCTCGGTTTTGGTGAGGCGCCACTTTTGTACTTCAAATTAGCCCCCTTGTACCTCGCTGGGTGGGCTGGCCTTCTGGGCCATGCCAATACCCAGACACCTTCTCCGTGCTGAATATATTGTAGCGCCGTGAGTCTCCCTGAAGACGAAAGAAGACACAATACTCGGGCAGAATATATATATTCAGCACGGAGGAGGTGTCTGGGCTATCGGCATGGCCCAAAAGGCCATCCCACCCAGCGAGGTACAAGGGGGCTAATTCGAAGTACAAAAGTGGCGCCTCACCAAAACCGAGGGATAAACCACTATCGTATTACAATATATATTCTGCCCGAGTATTG